AGCAGTAGAGTAGAGAAGAATAGAAAAACAAATTAGTGTTTTAGGGTTTAGAATCGAAGAGGCTCTGATACCATGTCACGAATTAATTTTCCATAATTTGTATTACTGTATTAGCACGTATATATATACAACCTAAGAGAGATTATGGCTTATCACATTGGCCCATTAGCTATACATATACATAAGGCTTAACAAAACATATTTAAATTAATAGAATTGGGCCCAATTACAATAATGTGATCTACATACACAATAAGATATATAGGTGTAGTAGCATGATGAAGGATAAATAATGATGTATCCCAAACACATCGTTTGAACCCTCTACCGATCAAATAATTTGCTAACTCAGTGTACCAAGCCCGTGGGGTACAATCAATGCCAGGGCGTTGTTGAAAACCCTTGGCAACCAAACGAGCTTTGTACCATTCAATCGAACCATCTTTTTTATATTTTATGCGGAAAACCCACTTACACTACCAAGATTATGAAGAGAAGCAAGTTCCTCCTCCATAAAGGGTCTTGTAAAGCTTGTTTCACTGTTTTGGGTACCTCCGGCTTAGATTGAACAGAGGTGTTGTTTACGTACTTTTTATTTGGTTTAAAAATGTTGTTTTTGGATCTCGTGATGATCTCATGGGTTGGTTGAGTGGTTATTTGGGTATTTGAGTTTGTGTCAGGAGTAGGAGTAGGAGAAAGAGGTAGAGGTGAATTTTGCAGAGTAGTTATAAGTGAGGGTTCTGGGTTAGATGGTAGTTGCGGTGTGGGTAGTGGGTTGGGCTTGAGTCATAGAGTGGGTAGAAGACGTGGGGCTATTTGGAGTAATGGGTGAGGTGTTGGGTAGTATCAAGTGGGCTAGAGACATGTGTAGGATGGGAGTTGGTATGAGTGGAATTAGATGGAGTTAGTGTTATTGGACTTGAGCCATAAGAGTCTTGATGATCATGCATTGGCATGCGAATGGGATTTTGTAGAATAGGCAACGAGATTGAACACCAAGAGTCTGGACTTGGAGTGGTAGTAGGTGAGGGGTTTTTCATAAGCTGAGAGCGGGGAAACTCATTCTCAATAAATCCAACATGGCGGGATGTAAAAACACGATTAGTGATAGGATCTAAACAATGATGTGCACTTTGTGTTTTTGAGTACCCAATAAATATGCAAGCTCTTGATTTTGGATCTAATTTATGAGATTTGTATGGTTTTAACCATGGTTTTGTATCTTCCTGCTCTGATACCATATAAGAAGAAATGAGTGGTGATTGTATTCAAAAGTAACGTCGACTGTATATATTACAAGCTATAGTCTAAATATGTGCAAGGAATAAACTAATTAAGGAAAATAATAATATCCTTATGAGGGGATATTATTTACAGCTAGCAAGAAATATATGCCTAACTAATTAGAAAGATTACAATGATACAAGTCAAAGATATTATTAAGGAAAATATATCAATTTACTCCATTAATTGATATCTTCTCCAATAAGGATAAATACAAATATGTAAAGTATACATTCTAGCTAATTTGTTAATATTATGAAAATATTATCTAATATGTAAAGTATACATTCTACCTAAATTTGTTAATATTATGAAAATATTATCTATTCTATTGTGCGTCCTATTCCTAATAGAACTCAAATCGCTTTATATAAACACCCCCAAACCTAAAATTTCTTTAGTTTTACCTTCTTAAAAGAATTTTAGAGTACACCTGAAGAGGTCGAACGTCTTCGAGACGACAATTTACGATCCCTTTACACCTGTAAGAAGCTCCATTTACTTCTTGATTTAGATCACACACTAGTTCATGCAAGAGAGATAGTGACATTCAAGTCTGAGGAGATACAATCCTGTAAAAACATGGACGATGTGTACGAAATATTTAATGGTAGCTTTATAGTGAAGTTAAGGCCGGGTGTTCGTGAATTCCTTAGGGAAGCTAAGTTCCGTGTTTGATTTGTCTATCTATACGGGAGGAGAGCGAAGCTACGGACAAGCTATGCGTGAAATACTTGATTCTAAGGACGCTGGTTCCTCGATGTTTTCGTACGTGATTGCTAAGGAGGATTGCTTAAAGGCGGAACGAAAGGGTTTAGACAATGTGTTATCACATGAAAGGGTTGTTTTGATTGTTGATGATAGAAAAAAAGTTTAGAAGAATTCTGGTCATAAAAATCTAATAAAAATTGAACCTTATTTTTATTTTCCTAGCAAAAAAGAAGGAAAAACAATGGACAAAGAGTTAACTAGGGTTTTGAGTGTTTTAAGGAAAGTCCATAATTCATAGAGATGTGCGAGATGTGCTCAAAAGTGTTATGAGGAGACCGTTAACTATTTTGAATCGGGTCACAAGGAAGATCGGTAGATTCTTGGTATGTCATTAAATATTGTTTGTGTTTAAGGAAATTAATTAGGAAATAAGTTGGATTATTGTTTAGGTTTGTAGTGACATAGCAAGTGTTGCATATTAGAAAGAAAAGATTCAATAAATTTCACTGAAACAAGCAAGGTGTATGTATAATATGTTATTCATTAACCTTCACTTTTATGATAGCCCATAACATAAGAAATATTCTAATTATTTCTTAATAGTAAAATCTCTAATTATATTATGTCTTGTGTGATGGTGAAGCTATCGCCAATGTGAAGCTACTGCGGTGAGACATGCTTTGTGCACATTCATGGAAGCGGGGTTTCAAAGATTTGTGCTCGAGAAGGACAACATTTAATGAAGGGTCTTGCTCCTCATTTAGAGTTTGGTCGCATTCTTAAAGACATACAATGCATTGTAATGTGGCTGGGAGGTTTTAACCCCTACTGTAAATAAGATGTGTGTGTGTGTGTTTTTTTATTTTCTATTAAAAAAAAATCTCTAATTATGTTTGTGTGAAACTTAGTATATATAGAAAGTTAATATTTTAGAATATACTTCACATTGAAACCAAACCCAATACATTTTTAAGTATCTATACGAAGTCTATGAAATATATGATAACATCTATTTTTGTATAGGTAGAAAAATGTTGTTTAATGTAAGTACATTTATACATGTGGTATATATGATGCAAAATAAAAGTCGTTTGTCAAAAAAAAAAAAAAAAAAAAAAAGTCAATTGAAATTTTAAATCAAAATAAAAATCAATGTGTGTACGGGACAATTAAAAGAGTAAAGGAAGTGTAGTAATACGGATTAAAACCGAATTAAACCAGGCCAAACCGAATTAACAATTCGGTTTGAATTTTTTTTAATTTGGATTGGTTGGGATTGAAAAAACTAAAAAATATGGAATTATGATTTGGATTCGATTTTGGATTTTAAAAAACCGAAAACCGAATAGAAATCGAATTTGGGCCATAATGCTTAGGATTATGCTTACTAATGTTGTCAATTATAATTTGAAAATTTGTGCTAAGCTTTTGTTTATTGCGATAAGTAATATATGTTCACGCCCAAAAATTAAACCCAAAAACACATGTCCAAAAATTTCGGTTCAGTATAGATTCAATTTTGAAAAACCGAATTAATACGGCTTGGATTGGATTGGACTAAATCCAAATTCGATTTGGATTCGGTTTCAAAATTCCAAAACAGAATTAATTCGGTTTGGCCTATAATCTAAACCGAAATCCGAACTTTCACCCCTCATTTTAAAAGTGAGCTTATATAGTTATACTTAAGTAAAGCTTTGACATGTCGTTCACTATCAAATATTATGAAATGTATTGTATTTTAAAAGTGAGCTTATACTTAAGTAAACCTTTGACATGTCGTTCACTATCAAATATTATCTATTATCTACTCCTTCCAACCACTATTCAAAAAAAAAAAAAAAAAAAAAATACTCCTTCCAACCTATTACAAAATAGTTCAAACCCTTGCTTGGGTACAAAATTTTAGGTGATAGCTGCTAAATATCTTCCTCGCTTTATACTGTTCTTCAATTCTTATTTTCAATCAATTTTGTCTTATAAAAAGATTCTAAATAAGAAGAACAATATGAAATTGAGAGAGTATCAATTACCCTTCTAATATTTAATTTTTTAACGAATTTGTCAGTTATATCATATTCTTTGTAACGATAAAATTTACTCCACATCTATTACTATTACTAAAACAGAATATACTGACGTCACCACTGCCTATATGTCACTTCCTTAATAAAAAATTTCCCGCCTAAATGCCAGGATGATGTCATTTTTGTATTTTTTTTAGAGCTATCATATTTAACAATTTTGAAATTTAAATGTTAGAAGCTTCCACATTACAACTAAAACCTATCAATCTCTAGGAATTTTAAATATAATACTAATAAAATACCTCCTACATACTTTTTTTTTTCCAGGCCAAATAACCTCCTACATTAAAATATATATTAGATGACGTTGAACTGATACTATTTCATAATTTGATGAAAATCTAAAATTTTAAAATTACTTTTTTTTATTTGTACAAGGTGCATAATTTTTATATAAATCGTATATCGCACGGATTCTAACCTAGTTAATTTCTAAAATGATATATTTTCTCTCTATAAGATAATAATATCACAACCTTAAAAAGTTACTCGTAAAACTGCATATTCTCTCTCTAACATTCACAAAAATAAATGCTAGTACAATTTAGAATTTTATTTTTGCAATTTGAATATCAAAGAAATAATTTATCTATTTATCTCTAGTAAAAACACGGTGCAACAAATTAAACCGTGTAAGATCTAAATTACAAGCTAATGAGTAAGGAAAGATTGGCTGATATGTTGTTTTTAATATAATAATAAAATTAAAGGCGGCATAGATGGACTAGGGATAGAAATATGGAAAGTATTTTCTAGATAGATTTTTGTTAATCAAAACATTAGCTTTCCTGTAATATGTCGTATATAATCTTTATGTATATTGGACTCCCTCTTTAAAGGTATCCAAAACCTAAAAAATTATTTCCTTCGTCTTTCCTAAAACAATTCTAAAGATTTCATCTTTCCAAAAAAATTACAATGAATTCATCAATAACAAAAAGTGAGATTAATCGTATTCCAGACAATAATCTCCAATGCTTGTTAAACTCGAAGAAACTTCACTTAATCCTTGACTTAGACCACACCCTAGTCCACTCGAGAATGTTGCACAAACTCACGTCTACGGAGAAGGAAACTATTGACTCGAACACGAACTCGAACTCAATTGAGGATAATGTTTATAAGATTTGCGGTGGTAATTGTGTGGTGAAGTTAAGGCCGGGTGTACGTGAATTTATTACGTTGGTTAGCTCGATGTTCGAGTTGTCGATATACACCATGGGAAGTCGGTATTACGCGCAACAAGTGCACGAGTTGCTTGTGTCTAAAGCCGGGTTTCCGAGTAATTGTTCGATTGTTGTGAGGGAGGATTGTGTAAAGGAGAGGCGAAAGGGGTTTGATAATGTTGTGTTATCACATGAACAAGTTGTTGTAATAGTGGATGATACGGAGAAAATTTGGGAGGAATCTTGTAAGAGAAATCTTTTGAAAATTGGCGGGTATAATTACTTTCCAATTAAGGAAGGGTTTGATGATCAAGAAGTAGTGGACACGGAACTTGCGAGGGTTTTTCGGGTTTTGATGTTGGTTCATACTTTGTTTTATGATGATAGTTTTGTGATCAACAATGGTTGGTCTCGGGACTATGGTTCGAGGGACGTGAGGGATGTGCTCGAAGCGGTTTTGATTAGCTCGGTTTCGGGTTGTGGAGATAAAAGGGGTGATGCTGTGTGTAGCAAAAAGAGGTCGAGAGATAGTACTATAGCTTGTGTTCAGACAGAAGTGAAAAGAAGCAGGACATCAGTTGATTATGTGGTTGATTCTGTTCAATTGGCAAGTGTAGTACATTAATTAAGGGTTAATTTTGTTGGTTAATGTTTGTTTAAGTATTGTGGATTGTTAAAATGGGTTGTTCTAATTGATGTATTAAAGCCCTAGGCATTGGGAAGACCCTTTGATGATCCGATCCCTAGGGTTTTATTATTCGCGTGTTCATTAATTCAATGAGGATTTCTTAATTTTTATCTTAGAAAAATTGTACTAGGATTAATTTGCGCCCAAATTGATTAGGGCTATTATGATAATATAATAGTATGAATTCTTCAATCTTCATTTACCAATTAATGCTGTAAGTTTTTGGTCTTTATTTTGATCTGAATTTTTTAGTACTGTTAATGCTGCAAGTTTTGGGTCTTTTATTGGTGTGTTAAACCATGTTCAAAATAATTAGAGAATCAATTCTTGTATCGATCGCCCTGATTCAAGTATAACAGTAATCATGTTCCAGTAAAGCTTTCTTCTACTCCATTTCTATTAATATATTTCTGCATATATGACAGTAATCTTAGCAGAGGTAACAAATGAAACGACTTTTTTTTTTTTTTTTTTTTACCATGAATGAAACGAAATTTTGGAGATCAAAAGCTGATCATTGCAAAATTCAAGTACAGAATGGTCATTTAATAGCCCAATAATTAAAGTATGACACATAGATCATTACAGAAATTTTAAGGGAGAATCTATAATTACGATCGAAGGAAAAATTTATAATTGTGTTTTCAAGAAGGAAGTTATTTACATTGCCTCAGAAATAGTAATTGTTCAAATTTGTAGCAAAAAGGATTTAGACAGCTTCATATGTTCTATTTGAGAAACTATGATTGGATCCAAGGGGTGCAACCCGCAAATTCTTCAAATGGCGACTTGCTAAATATATCGTGCTCAACATCCAAAAACATATCAAGCACACAGTAGCAGTTAGCTCAATCTGAATCCTTCTGTACACAAAACTCTTCAATTGCCCAACCTAAATAATTATTCAAAGGTAGAACAAGCAAGGCACTTCAGTAAATGTGACAGTAAGTGTTTAGCAAGAGAATTTTTTGATTCATAGAATGCTTACCATAAAAATCACAACAAAGTCGGATGTGATGCACTTTGAGGCCTCTCAACAGGAGATTCAGGTCCAGAAGTAACTTCTACAGCTGTTCTATTAGGTTCATCTGATTTGGGCGCCGAAGGTCTCTCTACTTCTGTTCTATTAGGTACATCAGACGATTCATGTGCAACAGTTACCTCTACTGCCGATGTATTAAGTTCATCTGTTCGATGCTTCATTATCTGGTTCTGACAGTGTGAAAACTCTTTTGCTTGTCCCTGTCTCAATGATAAAAATCAAAACTTTGCCTTTTGAAAATAAAAGAATGAACAACTTTGGACTCCTATACTCCTACCACACTTCAATGCAAGATTGCAATGTCACATGTTACCAGGGAAACGGCAGGAGAGACAGCAACCACTAAGGGCGGGAGTTCATTGGTTAGTGACGTATATAAAGGAGATGAAATTTATACCCAGCCATTGGCCATGGACCAGGCATAAATTAAGAGCTATTCACCCTATACCCGCCCACCCTGCCCCATATACCCACCTCAAACCTGTCACCCACCCGGTGTAATCAAGTTATACTCCCTCTGTCTACAAATCAAAATCATATTCATATAATACTATATTTTGAATGTCCACAAATAAGTCAAGTTACTATACATGGCATATTCACCCTAATTTTATCAAGTGATGCGAGTCTTTGAAAAAAAAAAAAGGTTTATCTTTCTTTTACACTACACCATCAATTTAATAATTTTCTTTTACATTATCTATATAAAGCCTTACCCCCTCCATGTTTAAATTTTATATCTTTGAGCCAAAAAACCTTAGGAGACTTTTATTTGTGGATAGAGTGAGTAGTAAGTAGAACTACTCAATATATTCAATTACCCCAAAAGAAAATACTGCACCAACTTTATCTTCTCCTCTTTGTTTTTTTTATAAATAAACATATTTATCTTACAGCCTGATTTTGCTTTTGACATTGGCATTGTTACACTTTGAATTACACTATAATAATGTTTATGAGTGTGTGAAGTAGGTGACTGAAGTTGATGATTGGTACTGACTATGTTACACAGACTCAACAAGTGTCTGACACGACTTGTCAGAAACAGCAATAATATGAGAAATATGCACGGAACCGGTCCAAAATAAAAGTGTTACTACCATACCAAAGCACCCATTTCTGAGTGCCAAGTATCCGACACTGCTCTACTGAGACTTGTAGTGAAATGAAGTGTTGGAATAACAAGGTATTTGAGACAGATAGTGTGCAAAGGGTACAGCTAGTTAAATAATTGTCCTATGGCCAAATGGATGATGGGAGTGGTATCTGGTATGGTTTAAACATGCAATAGCCGATATGGGTATGCGGGAACCTTCCACCACATGTCCACACAAGCTACACCACACTCACATTTCTACAAAAAGAAGATACAGTGGGAAAAGTGGCACCTTATATAAAGCTTCCCACCAGAGATCTGATTTATTTTGAAGCATGCGCCATTGCATTGCCATCTCATGTTCAATTGTATTTGCCTGTGCACAGTGGGAAGCAAACACAGCCTTTCTCTACAAGGACCAAAAAAAAATAAAGAATCATTCACATATTAAGAGCAAATAAAAGGTGTGATGTATGTAGAATTAGAATGGTAGATAAGAATGCCTTGTTAACGTTAAATTTGTGCTTCAGTGAATCCATGATGAGATGGCCAGGAAAATTCAGAGTCATATCAGGTTCATTAAAAGTGGCTTTGCAAGCAACGAGAGGCCTGGAATAAGAATAATTAGAAATTTAAAATAAATAAATAAATAAATTAGAAGCAAGATATAACATTATAACTACAAAGTGAGTCCTGTACAGAGTGATTTCCCTCTATCCAAGAACAAGGGATTAATTCGAGAATAACCTCTCTTGGTGCGAAGAGATCTTAGGAGTTCGTGTGCTAAGGAAAATTTTGATCTAGCAGAACCCAAGTATCGGTTTCAGAACCAAAGAAGGCAGGGTTCATTTATGATTATTCCAAAGAAAGTTTACCTAGTTTCTCAAGGAAAACATATTACCTATCACCACTCAAAGCCGGGGTCATTTGTGATAATTCAAGTAGTAGAAGACACTATAAGGAAGTTGCCAAGGAAGATCGTATGAGGCGGGAAGAGAATATGTCACATTCAAATACTTCAGATATCAGCGTGTTAGGTTATCAGGATCATGAGAAGTAAGCTTCTGGTTTGGGTTGTATCAAGTGTGAATCAGTTAGTGTCTTAGTGATAGGTTCGAGGAAAGCCATGAGAAAAGTGATTATCATCCAATCACTTCAAGTCCAAAGTTTAAACCTTGCAGTTCATCCACCTCTACTAAGATGACCAAGAAGAAGAAGGGGGGGAAAACATGTTAAGATACCTTCCTTCCCCGACTACAAGACACCTATCTTTTAACAAACACATGACGAGATCTGCATCATCCTTCGATTCAAATATAACCAATGCATGCCCTGCAAGTACAAACTATAGCTTCAGATATTGTTTACTAATTTCATGCTAAAAACCAAAGATTTCAAATTAAGAACGTACCATATACATCAAAAGAATGTCTGCGTGGAATGACTTTTGCATGAGCCTTAACCTTAAAAGCCTTTGAAATCATTTCCTAAGCAATCAAAGAAGTGAATGACATCAAGATCATAGTGATTGGGCTACAACTAAGGCTACAAAACATGGCATTAGGATCACAACTAATATACAGACTCTTTGTAACATTTTAACTAAGGCTACTAATCAAATTTGGTTCATGTAACCGACCCCACTTATGGGATTAAGGCTTTGATTGATTGATTTGTAGCATTTTAAGAATTTGTGCCCTTTTTAACGTCTGATTCCTTGCTAGGGGTTACGCCCCGTGGGGTTTAGTCCACAATTCAACTCTTTGCTAGTGTTAGAGGTGGTATAATCATACACCTATCATGAAGCAAGGAAGCAGATAACGGACCAAGCAAGCTACCCTATGTTCTCTCTAATTAGGTTTACTACTTAAATAGTAAGAAAATGTGTGGCACGCTTTGAAAGGGAAGAGGGTGAGAGCTGAAAGACAAAGAACCATCATACCACAGAAGTACAAAACAAAATGAAGATCTTAGTCCCATCATTTAACAAAAGATAAAAGCCTTGAGCCTTCAAATATTAAAACAGTCCAAAAGAACTTTAGGGGCGTTTGGGTTAACAAAGGGGAAAGGGAATGAGCTTAAGAAAGGGAAAGAAGGAGAATAGAAACAAAAACCCTTAGATAAGTTAGATTTAGATAGTTAAGAAAGGGAATCATCCAACATCCATTTCCCTTCCCTTCAACAACTACCACCGCCACCTTAAATCAGAAAACAACCACTATTGCCCCTTACTTCCTCCACTACCGCCAAAGTCACTGCCCCTGCCCCTCCTTACTTTTCTCTCTCCCTTTTTTGAATAAATCTTCTAGTTCTAGTTGCTTAGGTGGTTTTTTCGGATGGTTGGGAAATTTTCCGATTGTATAGGGTGGTTCATGTTGGATGAAGTGATTTTTTCACTATGGTGGAGTCAATTTCAGGTTGGGTAAGCGCTAGTTTTGGGTTTGGTGTTGTGGGTTTTGGGAGTGTGAGGTGGTTAAGGTGGCTTTTCAGTGCTGTGTGCCCTCACAGGCATGTAGATTACCAAATCAAAGAGACATATATAACCCCATTACCAATTTCTCTCTTTTTCCCAAGCATCTTCTCACACAATGAATGAGAGAGAGGGGATTTAGATGCCTTAAGTGGTACCAATACAGATGCAAAAACATAGATACTACATTACCCCTCTGAATCTCAACAAGTTTCTATTATTACTGACATTCTTTGTTAATGACAGTTTCATAACCTCTAGCCAATTATATAGAATTGTATGCATACTAAATAAGACTCCACCACCTTGACTATTGATAATTTGAATATTATTTAAGCTACTAGTTTATGACATTGATATTAAGTACTCCCTCCGTCCCTTATATTTTGCCCCATAGTATAATGTTACTTTATTAAGTTTTGGTTGGAAAAAAGTGATGAGAGAGAAAAATGGTGGGGTTAATGGGTGGTTGTGAGAGTAGAAATGTGGACCCATATGTCCAAAATAGAATGGGGCAAAATTAAAGGGACAGACTAAAAGGGAAATTGGGGCAAAATATTGGGGACAGAGGGAGTAAATATGAAGACTAGGAGATAGACACTAACAGGCTGACAAAATCTAACCTTCCCCCCCCCCCCCCCTCCCCCTCCCCAATATTCTAGACTTGGTATGAAGACTAGGAGATAGACAATAATAGACTAACAAAATCTAATCCCCCCCCCCCCCCCTCAAATATTCTAGACTTGGTGTGCAGAGAATCATAATTGATTAAATTAAAGGAAAGACTATGTATAATTTAATACTCATAATTTAAGCTCCAATTATTATGAACCAAAGGGAAGTATGAAAGGAAAAACAAAACAAATAGAGGACATGGCGTTCCTATGGGAGTAAAAACCCAAGCACCAAAGAAGAGACACAGACAGCAGTCACTTACTACCATTACTTACTATCTTTACGCAAGGGGAAAATAGGTGCTCTAGCATGAGAAATTTTTGATGAATTACAATAGTAGTTGAGTGGAATAAATATGCAGATATATTAAGAAATCATGCATATGAAAAGAACAAGAATCAACATTGCAAGGAAAAAACACGGGTAATAATTAAATTATACTGTATTCAGTACCTGTACGTCTAATGCAGTATGAGACAGATCCAAGTTATACAAGTGGACGAGAGTTCCTTGCTCATGAGCCTCCTTTACTTTATCTTCCCACGGCTGCAATTATATAGCAAAAGAAATACTCAAAAATGCATCATTTTTGCGAGATGTTTTATAATAGTTGACCAGATAACTTTTCCAGTCCCTCAAACCCACAAGCTATCAAGAGAATTAAAGCAAAGGATTACTACAAAATGAAGGCCAATTCAATTTGAAATAACTGAAAGTTGGTAACACAATAAAGGCACAAAAATTATCACAACCAACATCAACAGAGACATCAACAAAAAATATAAAAGGAACATAACAGCCTATTCCCAATCCCACAAATCTATAAGATTTACTGCATTAACGCATAATTCTACTGAACCCTTAGCGTCCAGAAAGTAAGCATGCTCAACAACGTTATGTAGCAGAACTTACCAACGTGAAGAACCATCTTCGGGTATCCTGAGATGGTGAGGGAGGATCTGTCTCTGAAATATAAACAATGTAAATGCAGATATTATCTTGCCCACCAAGCATATATGAACAGAATAGAGTAGACTGCAAGTAGTACCTGCCACTGGTAGAATTTTCCTCTTCTTCAAAGGTGGAGCTTCTAAAGTGTGATGCTCCAAATTCTCATGTATACTCAGAACTTCTGCCTTTATATGGTTTTCTGCAGTGTATGTAGGTTTTTCTTTAACTAATGCCAAGCAAAAAAACAGATGAGATAAATAAAAATTAATACAAACAACTAATAAATATGCACCTGTGTGCAAAGTGCACCCAAAGTTAAGTTTTGCTCATTCGATGATTAACTGAGCAAAGAATACCCTTGGGTGCAAGTTTCACCCAGGTGTATATATGAATTACTCAACTACTACCTCCGTTCCCGTATGTCCTAGGCACTTACTATTTTGAGAGTAATTGAGGAAGTAAGGAAGAGTGTACAGGTGGGGAAAGGAGTGATTTTATAATTTCTCAACAATGTAAGTAGGTCAAATCTTATATTAAATTTTGTATGTGGGTATTGTGGCGGGCCAAAGAAGGCAAAAAGTTTAAGTGTCCTTGCCATAAATGGAATAAAGTACAAGTGTAAAGAACTTTAAGAAACGAACTTATGAGGAAGATGTAAAAAAATCATTTAGGAATGGAGGTAGTATATACCAAACTTTTTATAAACAAAAAAAAAATAGAAAGTACATTAGTCTTTTCAACCACCTTTCAATAGTGCATTAGCACTAGGATCATTCCTGCATTCTACATTTGCTTTGGGCTTATCTCGATTCTCAAAATTCTCAGATGCATGCAAAATTTCGATCTTTGTAGGCTTTTCAGCAGTGTTTGTAGGTTTTTCTGCAACTAAGCATATCACAAGCAAACATAGGAGGCATATATATATTAATACAAATAACTTTTTACCAAAATTATAAAAAGTGGAAAATGTATGTCTATTCAACAAGTACCTTTCAACTGTGCACCAGCAGAGAGACCAGTCCTGCATTCTAAATTTCCTTTGGGATTATTTTGACTCCAATTGAACAAACGTTCCACTGCAGACATATGAAGATATAGTTGCTGATTTAGATCTAAATAGAAAGAGAATACTTAACATGAAACATTATCACAAAATATCGTGTTCATAGTTCTGAGTACTAAGATGGCATCTTGGCCAAAAGAAATTATAATTAAGAGAGCAGGGATTATATAGTTTCAATGATTTGTTTCAGCATGATTTACTATGTCACTTAAGTCAGATGTAGCAGATTGCCTCATGCTCACAACAACAATAAATCCCACCAGTAGCAAGAGGTCTATATCAGACTTCCAATATAATGTATTCTCATTTCATATTATATAGTACTCCTATAAAAACAAAAATAAATAACAAATTCAAATTTCAAAACACAGAAAAGTTAGCTCTATGATAAGCAAATTATAAGGTGACAATGTGCCTAAGAGCATATGCTGTAAATTAATTTGCAATATTCCACTTAGAAAAAGGCCAATTTATTCAAAGCCCATCATCATGTGTTGGTTACATTGGGTTCAGTCGCAGACTTTTTTTTTGGTTAATAGTCACAGACTGGAGTCACTCAATTTCACAATAAGAGTAGGTCAAATTTACAAATTTCTTCTAGGCCATCATAGGGCAAAAGAATAGAGTTGGATAAAAAAGTTTTGGAAGTGCAAAGGAAAACTTTGTTGCTGGAAATTGGAATACAACTGTGAGAAGTTAAGAGCAAATGAGCCTCGTCCTACAACTCCTACTTGTAGTGCTTCTAGCCTCTTTAAGCTTGACTAACCATTAAGTTACTAGGTTACTAAACCTTTTATCTAAACGTAGATGAGCGAATCTTCTACCAAAATATCTTGTATGGCTTGTTGAAGAAAATCCCTATGGTCCTAGAAAGAAAAATCCATACAATAAATTAGGAAGAAGCGCTCTTCTAGTAATAGTCCTTGCTACTCTAACTCATATATTCTTGCACTCAAGCAAACACAGTGAAAAAATCATTACCCTCCTAAGTAAGCAACTTCACATTTTAAACAAACACAACCTTAACAAGTTAGACTTCCCATTGATGCCATTATTGCAGTGTTTGCATTATACCTAAGTCGGTCTTTATCAAGAAAGTTTCACTTCAATGTCAACAGACCATGAGAAAAAAAAGCCCAAGGAGGCTTCCAATGACTTTATGAAGCCAAGTAGACACGTATTACCAAGATTTTTCTATAGTACATGTAATCCAACTAAGACACAAAAAAACCATACAGATTACACTAACCTTTTATCTTGTCAATGATATCAGGAAACTTATCTGATATCCTTAGATCTCCGACATCAAAGATGTGGGAAACGTAGTAGTTAGCCTTTGCCAAATCTGATTTAGATAGAAGAGTGTTCCTTCTATCCTTTGCAGTACATGCAACATTGCATTTCCCAACAATAGCTTCCTGAAACATAATGGAGATAAAACTAAGATAATATTCATAATTTCTTTTGAAACATTTCAACCATGTAACTATCCATATTCACAGACAGTTCTAGCAGGGAGAAGTTATTGTTAGGAAAGTGAACAAGAGCTCAAGAAGGTAGAGAAGTTACCAGAGGGATTATGTTTGAAACTCCTCTGCCCTCACCAGAAGCCAAAAACAGCTCATTCCAAGAAGGCTCATACTCTCGTAAGAAGTTACAAACATCTACTGGGCGGAAAAACCAGATAACTTTCCCTCTCTTTGCTCCTGTTTTTGACTCCCACATCTTTACCAGTTTACCTATATCGGTGTCTTTTGCACCTTCCCGATATAGGTAAACACAGTCTTGAAGAAAATATTGAACACCTTGATATGTAAAAGACTTGTAAGACTTAATTTCTGAATCATCTGTTACAATCTTGATTCCCCATTTGAAAGTTTTCTGGTTTTCCTCCACGAGTTGTGACATAGCTTGGTCACCTAGAAGAAAGTCAGAAACCACTAATCAACACACTACCTAATAAAGAAATCATTTCAGTAACCTCCAAACACAGAAACCAATATCCCAATTGAAGAAATAAAATTTGAGCAAACAACAATATAAGAAACAATACAACAGCTACTTGCTTCCATTGAAGCTACAAAGGAGTAACAATTCTTACACGAAATAGAACAACACGCAAATTTATACATAAGCTTCAATCAGATTTATACATTTAAGAGTATGAAGACAGATATATTATCAGTCCTTCATACTATCGATATACTACACTATCAGCATGTGATTTTACCTCAAATTAACATGAGTAGCATCTTTTTATGAGGGAAAACGTTAGCAGGCATTTATTCCAAATCGAGCTCCGCTAAAGCTAAAATGCTTTGCGGGAAAAAGTTAACACATACAAGTTCCACACATCCACGGGTATCCCATCTTGCTACAAGATGGGCAACCGTGTTGCCTGCTCTACGAACATGAGAAATACTATAATCATTAAAAGACTTTGCTAATAAACCAACATCTGTTGATAATTTAGAGTGTCGGAGGAGCGCTCGCGCTTCTGAAACGCGCTTGCGCCAGTTAGGCGCGACCCGCGACAAAACCGCGCATAAACCGCGATGAGTTTCTGGAAATTCTGGGAAAGTTTGGAGGCGCGCCCGCGCCTCCGGTTGACGCGCCCGCGCCATGGCATGGCGCGACCCGCGCCTAAACCGCGCTAACTTTATGGAAATTCGAAGATTTTAGGCAAAGAAGGTGGCGCGCCCGCGCTTCTGTGGTGGCACGCCCGCGCCTCTTCGCACGCGCCCGCGCTTCTTGTCGTTTTGCGGTTTTATACGTCGGTTGCTTCTATTGATATAGAAGATGTTTTTTGAAATAAAAGAAAAGATATACAGAACTTCTCTCTGAAATTCTCCCTAAAAAAAAATTCTCCATTTTCTCTCAAAAAACTTGCAATCTTTTGTGAGAAATCTTCTTGATTTTAGTCTTTCTTGTGAATTGTTTATCATCAATTTGTTTCTTAGTGCAAAGAACAATTGGGCTGACTTTTGTATCTCAAAGAGTATTTCCGGATCAAACCCAAGCACCGTTGTGGGGGAAATTAAACTCTTTAGGAATGTATTCATACGCCTAAGTCAGTGTGTCAAGGATTGAGACTCAAGTGGTCACCGGTTTTCTCATGTTCATGTTGGATGTAATAGCTTGGAGTAGAGGCAAGTAAAATATCTTTCACAACTAGTGTTTTCATTGTGTTTTTCTGTATTACTTTGATAATTTGGTGTTTGGTTGTAATACATTGAATTGTATTTGGATTTTGTATAATTCATTATCAATTATACATAGTTAGGTTTTGTTCCCACAATTGTTATAGTAGTTCTTGTTTTAGAATTACTTGGAAAACCTTACAATCTAAAGAGTTTAAAACTTAGCAAGCATGTCTAGTGTGAAAGATTTGACCACAAATTTTGTCAAACTCAAGAAGTTTGACGGTGTGGAGTTTCGGAGATGGAAGAAGAAGATGTACTTTCTTCTTACATCTTTGAAAGTAGCCTATGTTATTAGTACTCCAAGGCCTAGTGAACATGAGAAAGAATCCTTGGAAAATGTTCGGGAAATGTCAAAATGGGACAACGATGACTTTATTTGTCGTGATCATATTTTGAATGGTATGGAAGATGATCTTTTTGATGTGTATCAAAATGTGGAGTCGGCTAAGGAGCTTTGGGAGTCTTTAGAAGGCAAATATATGGCTGAAGATGCTTCAAGTAAGAAGTTTTTAGTAAGTAATTTTAATAATTTCAAGTTTGTTGATGGTCGGTCCATAATGGACCAATTTCATGAATTACAACGAATCTATGGGAACTTGAAACAACATGGTATTTCTATGGATGAATTGTTTGTTGTTTCAAGTATAATTGACAAGTTGCCTGCTAGTTGGAAAAGTGTTAAGCATGAGCTTAAACACAAGAAAGAGGACATGTCTTTGTCCGAGTTGGCCACCCATCTTCAAGTTGAAGAAGGGATAAGAGCCATGGAAAGTGCTAAGGATGGGAATCCTAGTTCATCTACCATTAATTTGGTAGAGGAAGGAAAAACTAGTGCTTCCACTAGTGGAAAGAGGAAGAATAATACCTCTTTCAAGGGAAAGTCCAAGAAGCAAGCAAACAATAACAAATTTGCTTGTTGGGAATGCGGTAAAGTTGGTCACCGCAAGAAGGACTGTTTTTCCTTTAAGAAAAGGATGGAAAAGGCCAAAGAGGGTCATGCTAGCACTAGCAAGGACCAACCCACCAAAGGTAATCCAATTCATGAGGTTGAATTTAATTCCGGTTTGGATTTAAATGCAACGGATCCTAACATTTTTATGGTGCAGGATGATGACTCATGGTGGATTGATTCGGGGGCTTCAAGGCATGTATGCAAGATGAGGCATTGGTTCAAAACCTTTCACAAGGTTGGTGATGGAGAAGATCTCTTTATGGGAAACAATTCAACCATCAAGGTCCTTGGTAGAGGACAAGTAGAACTAATGTTTAGTTCGGGGAATGCAATCATTCTTAGGGATGTGTTGTATGCTCCGGATATTTAGTCGGAATCTTGTATCGGGGCCTTCCCTGAATAGTCTTGGCTATAAATTAGTGTTTGAAGCTAATAGGTGTATAATTACTAGAGGAACAAATTTCATAGGTCGTTGTTATTTATGTAATGGATTATTTAAGCTTTCTTTGAAAGACATGTATGGATTTGATGACGTTTGTATGAATGTTGATGCAAGTGATAATCATGTTAATTTAAATTTGTTTGATTTGTGGCATTCTAGATTAGGACATGTGAATTACAATAAAATGCTTTTCATGTCAAAACAAGAACTTATACCTTCTTGTGATATTTCTCCTAATAAATGTCCTACTTGCATGTTGAACAAGATCACTAGAACACCTTTTAAAAGTGTTGAAAGAAGTTCTAATATTTTAGAACTAATTCATAGTGACTTGTGTGATTTTCATAGTACTCCTTCTTTGGGGAATAAAAGATACATGATAACGTTTATAGATGATTATTCTAGGTTTTGTTATGTGTATCTTTTACACTCCAAAGATGAATCTTTAAATAAGTTTGATATTTATAAAAAGGAAGTAGAACTGCAAGTAGAATCATTAATTAAGAGAATAAGAACTGATAAGGGAGGGGAATACTATGATCCAGTTTATTTCCAATCTTTGGGTATAATTCATGAGACTACAGCTGGTTATGCACCACAATCAAATGGTGTAGCTGAAAGGAAAAACAGAACTCTCGAAGAAATGGTTAATTCTATATTGTCTTACTCAGGTTTGAGTGAAGGGTTCTGGGGTGAAGCTATGTTGACAGCTTGTCACATTCTTAACCGAGTTCCCACTAAGGGAAAACAATCTACTCCTTATGAACTTTTGGTACAAAAGAAAACCAAACTTGAAGTATCTTGGGGTTGTAGGGCAATCGTAAGAGTGCCTGGCAACAAGAAAAGAAAGCTCGGTGAAAGGGGCTTGGATTGCATCTTTATAGGTTATGCTGAGCATAGCAAAACCTATAGGTTCTATGTAATAGAACACAATGATTATATATCGACTCATAAAGTTATTGAGTCAAGAGATGCAATATTTGATGAAAATCGGTTTTCATCAATGAGTAGACCGAAAGATCTACAAATCAGTGCCAATGATAGGGAGATAGTAGAGTTGAATGATCAACTTGAACCTCATGAAGAAACATTTGAAAATGAAAATGTTGAAACTTCTCAAGTTAGGAGAAGTACTAGGGAAAGAAAACCTAGGAACCCTCTTGATGACTTTATAATTTATTTAGTCGAAGGGTCTAGGGATGTCCTTAGTTCTACTACTCCATATTGTTTTAATGTGGATAGTGATCCAAAGAGTTATAGCGAGGCCATATGTTCTCAAGATAGAGCATTTTGGAAAGAAGCTATAAATGATGAGATGGATTCCATCATAGGTAATAATACCTGGGTCTTAGAGGATTTACCTCCCAGTTGCAAACCTCTTGGTTGCAAGTGGATTTTCACTAGAAAAAGGAGACCGGATGGCTCCATAGTGAAATTTAAAGCCAGATTGGTTATCCAAGGCTTTAGGCAAAAGCATGGTGTTGATTATTTCGATACCTATGCACCGGTTGCAAGAATTACCTCCATAAGGTTGTTGATTGCAATGGCTTCGGTATATAATCTAGTGATTCATCAAATGGATGTCAAGACGGCATTCCTTTATGGAGATCTAGAGGAAGAAGTGTATATGAAACAACCCGAAGGGTTTGTTTTGGAAGGACAAGAGGATAAGGTGTGTAAATTGGTTAAGTCTTTGTATGGACTTAAACAAGCACCTAAGCAGTGGCATCGGAAATTTGATGACACAATTTTGTCTTTTGGATTCAAAGTGAATCAAGCAGATAAGTGTATATATAGCAAATTTGATGACAAAGGTCATGGTGTCATTATTTGTCTATATGTTGATGATATGCTTATTTTTTGTACAAGTCTACAACAAGTAGAATTGACCAAGGAATTCTTATCCTCATCTTTTCAGATGAAGGATTTGGGGGAGGCGGATGTCATATTGGGCATCAAGATTATTCGGGACAATGGTAGACTTATTTTAAGTCAATCTCACTATGTTGAGAAGATGATCAAACGGTTTAACATGTTTGATAAGTGTCCCGTTAATACCCCCATGGAACCAAATGTGAAATTGGTTAAGAATTCGGGGAAAACAATTTCCCAATTAGAGTATTCAAGGATAATTGGATCCTTGATGTATGCCATGACTAGTACAAGGTCGGATATTGCATTGGCTGTTGGGAAACTTAGTAGATTTACTGGTAACCCGGGTGCACAGCATTGGTTTGCAATTCGGAGGGTCTTAAGGTACCTTAAGGGTACATTAGACTATGGTCTAGCTTATAGTGGATTTCCTTCGGTTTTAGAAGGGTATTCGGATGCAAGTTGGATCACTTACAAAGAGGATGACTCTTCTGTGAGTGGTTGGGTATTTATGTTTGGAGGAGGTACCATTTCATGGTCTTCCAAGAAACAAACTTGCATCGCTGATTCCACTATGGCAGCAGAGTTTATAGCTCTTGCATCAGCTAGTAAAGAAGCTGAGTGGTTGAGGAATCTCATGATAGAGTTGCCTTTATTGCCAAAGCCAATGCCACCGGTGGCAATCCATTGTGATTCCAATTCGGCGTTGATAAAGGCTTATAGTCAAATGTACAATGGTAAGTCTCGGCATATTTCACTAAGGCATAGCCTAGTGAAAGAGCTTATCAATGATGGGGTCATAAGTCTTGACTATGTTCCAACAAAGATGAATTTGGCGGATTGCTTTACAAAAGCAATGCCAAGACATTCCATCATATTTGCTATGAATGGAATGGGTTTATGTCCAAAAACACAAATTTGTGAAACCCAATCTAACACTTGAAGAAACATCAAGTCTTAGATTCAATGTGATTGAATTGCAATTTTGATGTTTGTTAACAATGTTTAATGATCCATATTGCTATGGTACTTGTGATGTATGAGGTAGCGTCAATTAAAAGTTCTCAAAGGTTTAGAGTTGAGAAGCTCTAAATGTAAGTGTCTTGTCACAAGGGCACAATTACGTATATGAGAACCTACCTATATAAGTTCGAAGTTTAGCCGCTTCAATAAGTCTAAAAGGACATATAGACCTCGATGAACTTATGAAAGATACGGACACATGGCTGTTTAAAAGTGTCAAGTGATGAATGATTCGATTTATCTTATGTGTGCTTCACCTTCGAATGGTTGGATATATCCGTGTGATTCAATCCATATGGAAATCATGGGATATGATCATCGTTAAGTGTGTTGTACTAGGTGTTAATTCAATCCGAAGGGACATTAACATTGATGCATAAGATGTGGCTAAATGATAGATTTGGAGAATGGATAAAGAAGACACTCTAAATGGGGGAGGATTGTTGATAATTTAGAGTGTCGGAGGAGCGCTCGCGCTTCTGAAACGCGCTCGCGCCAGTTAGGCGCGACCCGCGACAAAACCGCGCATAAACCGCGATGAGTTTCTGGAAATTCTGGGAAAGTTTGGAGGCGCGCCCGCGCCTCCGGTTGACGCGCCCGCGCCATGGCATGGCGCGACCCGCGCCTAAACCGCGCTAACTTTCTGGAAATTCGAAGATTTTAGGCAAAGAAGGTGGCGCGCCCGCGCGAGCTGGTGGCGCGCCCGCGCCTCTTCGCACGCGCCCGCGCTTCTTGCCGTTTTGCGGTTTTATACGTCGGTTGCTTCTATTGATATAGAAGATGTTTTTTGAAATAAAAGAAAAGATATACAGAACTTCTCTCTGAAATTCTCCCTAAAAAAAAATTCTCCATTTTCTCTCAAAAAACTTGCAATCTTTTGTGAGAAATCTTCTTGATTTTAGTCTTTCTTGTGAATTGTTTATCATCAATTTGTTTCTTAGTGCAAAGAACAATTGGGCTGACTTTTGTATCTCAAAGAGTATTTCCGGATCAAACCCAAGCACCGTTGTGGGGGAAATTAAACTCTTTAGGAATGTATTCATACGCCTAAGTCAGTGTGTCAAGGATTGAGACTCAAGTGGTCACCGGTTTTCTCATGTTCATGTTGGATGTAATAGCTTGGAGTAGAGGCAAGTAAAATATCTTTCACAACTAGTGTTTTCATTGTGTTTTTCTGTATTACTTTGATAATTTGGTGTTTGGTTGTAATACATTGAATTGTATTTGGATTTTGTATAATTCATTATCAATTATACATAGTTAGGTTTTGTTCCCACAATTGTTATAGTAGTTCTTGTTTTAGAATTACTTGGAAAACCTAACAACATCATCATATAAAAGGCACGAAGGAGAGAAACCCCTGGCATTGCTGTTTAATCTGCTCGTCACTGACAGGGCATTGCTTTCCACCCAGATTCGAGGATGCCCATGCGTTTTGCCATCAAGCATCCGAACCTAATAGCTGCTGCATGCCTCCGCATCTTCAACTGCCCAATTTGCTGGGATCTTCTTCGTTGCAGCCCATAAAATTTGACCTTGACTGTCCCTAGCAACCACGCCGAATCCACCACTAGCCCCCAACCCCACATGAGCATCCACATTAATTTTAGTAACCCCTGCAACAGGTTTCACCCATCTTGAAGTGGCAGCAGAAATAATGCACGTTGGAGCCTTAAAAACTTTCCCAGCATAGTTGCGATAGTCCTGCACCAATTTAATATACCCCGTACCACATGAAAACAGATCTGCAGCTACATTCTCGTACACTCTTTTGTTTCTGCAAAACCATATCGCCCAGGCAATAGTCAAGATCCGTCGGAGCTCTACTCTGTCTACCTTATTAGCCATCCAAAGCAGCCATTCATGGAAAGGGGCGTCAAGGGGAGAATCAGATATAATTTCATCACAATTAAAGTATCCCCAGACATTCTGAACACCTGCACAGCAGAAGAGAGCGTGGGAAATAGACTCAGCAGTCACACTGCATCCAGAGCAAATTGGATCAGCAGCAATGTGACGTCTAAAAAGCTCCCCTTTAACAGCTAGGCTCCCTTTGCAAGCTTTCCACACAAAGTGACTAAGCTTGGGAGGCCCATCCAGGCTCCACACCACACGCCACACTTCATTACCCACCACATTCGAAGCATCCTGCTCCTGTGAGGCCCACTATTACCAAGCCAATAGGCAGACTTTACACTATACACCCCCTCCTTATTAGGCCACCAATAACACACATCTGCTGGCATGTTAATAGACAAAGGAATCTGTAGAATTAAAGCACAAACATCAGGAGAAAAAAGGGTCTGCAGAATATCCAGTCGCCATTCCCCACACTGGTGATCAATGCAGTCAGAAAAACGAAGATCAGGGTCAAAGGAGGAAGTATGAGGCGGTATGACGTTCCCAGGTAACCAAGAATCCAGCCAGACCTTAATGTTAGAGCCATTACCAACTCTCCATTTCATTCCCTCTAACAGCAAAGACTTCGCCCCCCACAAGCTCCTCCATGAGTAGCTCAGATTATAACCTCTATATGCTTCTAACACTGAGCTATTTTTGAAATATCGAGCTTTAAGGATAGCATGAAGTAGGGGATTCGGATTATTATAGAGCCTCCAAAGTTGCTTTGCTAGAAGAGCCTGTTGAATATTTTAAGACCCTAAATCCCATACCACCCATTGACTTCGGTTTACACAAAGACTCCCAGCTATGCCAATGCATCTTTCTATGAGTAATTGAGTAGCACCTATTGACTCGTGATTTTATCGTAAATTTAGCCATCATGCTAGATGAGTAATTGAGTATGACACACAACAATTCCATACTAGTACAAACTAACAAATTAAACGAATCTTAGCTTTTCACAACTTTGAAAATGGCAAAATCTGAACCAACAAACTATGGGAAACCAACAACATTATTTAATACTAGCTTCTTCCAACATTCAAAATTCATGTCGAAAATCAGGAATAGAAAAATAAAAAATCACCTTGACAACAAACTTGTATAGAGTAAAGCTAGGTTATAGAATGGTGGATGTACGTACTCAATTTCTCTCTCTAGAACTTGATGAGTTTCTCTCACTAAAACGGAAAATAATGTTGAAGAAATGGCCATTTTTGCAGATGAAATAAAAAAAATCTTCCCAAAATACCATAATTTCTTGCTCTAAACACAAAAACCCAACAAAAAAATTTCAAATATCATACAGAATTGTCATCTAGATCATATACAGTAAACATATACCCAAAAAACAGAGGAAAACCCCTGATTCCAACAATATAGAGCATAATAAAGTCACCCAGTAAGAAATTTCCAAAATAAACAAAGAAAATAAAAGATCAAACTCAAAAACATCCCAAAAAAACAAGAAAAATAGAAGATTAAAACAAACCCAACTAAGAAATTTACACTAACAACAAAAAAATCATCATAATAGTTGATAAACAAAGAATGAAAGTAGAATATTACCTTAAAAATGAAAGTGAGAACCCAGATGAAGAGAGAGAAAGCATAAAAGTGGGGTTTAAATTTCTGGAAATGGGGTGATTAAACCTTGATTACTAAAAATGGCAAAAAGAAGATGACAGAGTTTTGGAGAATTTTGAGCTTAAAATGATAAAAATGTTAAATTTTGTAGCGAAATGAAGAAGGAAGTTACAGGAAATTTGGTAGAATGAAGAAGATGAAGTGACAGGAAAAGGGAGTGTTGCAGCAGAAATTGTGCGAGCAGATGTTTAACAACGCCACCACTACACCATGGTCATTGCCCAGTTGCCCACGAACTCCTACCATGTAGACTCTTCACATGCTCTAATATTGCTCTTACAACTGTAAATTAAAATTAAAATTGAAAATTAAAAATAATTTTTTAATATTGAAAAAAAAAATGTCTTTGTCTATTAGTGGATAAATTTCTCACTTATTATAATTTTTTTCTAAAATAAAACTAAATTTTTCACTATTTTCTTGCTCATTTTCCTTTAATTTTGCTTTTACGGTGTACTTCATACAAGTATATTTCAGTATGAACTTACAGGTTGGGTGAATGATAATTATTGTCTTCATTTTACAAAAATAAAAATGTCATAATCATAAGAAGAATAAGAATTACTATATTAAGTTATTTGGTGGAGTTTATTGGGGAAAAAGTAAATTAGAAAAGGTTTATTGCTCTATGTGCAGAAAAATCGTGTTATGGTCTTGTTTGGTATTTGTATTTCACGCGTAATAAATTAAAAACGCAGTATTCTTGTACTCCTTTTTTTTTAAGTTGGAGATGAGTTTGCGCAGAATTTTAGGAGGTTTAATAAAATAAGATATTAGTGGAGTAGATAAGATTATTATTTTATTGAAAAGTAAAGTGGAGTGAGAGGGAGTGAGACCATTGAAAGAGTGAGAAATAATAAAGTAAGAATGAGTAGGGACATTAGTGAGTAAAGATATATTATTGAATTGTAAGAGATTTCCAAAAATGAAACTCAAGCTTATAAAAAAGAACGGACGAAAATAATAACTCTAGCTTAAAAAAAAAACGGAGGGAGTATGTGTATGTATCACATCTGTTCACCCACATCTAGACTTTTTATTAAATAATTTTTGACTAAAACGGTTAAACGGCACGTTCAAAGAAATTTTTTCGGAAATATAACTAAATTAGTTAAATTTTTTTTAGTGATGTTTGTTGGGAGGATATTTATATGCCCATAAAGTTTGTATATTATAGCTTCATTTGGTTACCATTTTTATCTTATTGAAATTGCTTTAGGTGAGCTTCTAAACATATAAATATCATTTACAATCTGATTGGAACTTATTTGACTTTATTGAGCCTAATTAAATCTTATTACCAAATACAAACTATTTAACCATTAATAATGAGTAAGTCATTACTAAATACGAGTAATTACTACTTTGTACCTGTTATTAGTAAAACACAATATTTATATGGAGTACGCAGTACTAATTATTTTGCTTATCATTAACCGTAAATTAAGTATCAATATTAATTATAAATATAATAAGAACAATAAGGACAATAATTACATCTGCTTGGTATTTCCTATTGAGACTACTCTATTTAAGAGTATAGAAATCAAATTTTCACCTAATAGAATTGTACATTGTACTTAGTAAATCAGTTGGTAGTATGTAGCACAATATTAATATGAACATAGTCATATTTATTATTGTATAGACAGAACAACTACAACGTGACAAATTAATAGTCCTAAAACGCTAAAAATAATGGAAAGTAATAAAATCAGAGTACTACTTGAATGTTTTTTACGAGTAGTAGAGTAGCAATCAGGGCCTCAACCAATAGCAAAGAGCTAGCAGACATCTGCAAACACTCAAGCTGTTGTGCAAACCGCTAACCCCTTTTCCCTCTCTACTTTCCCAACTTCACGCAAAACTGGAAAGTTTGTGCATTGTACAAGCCTAGATTTGACGTATCGGCTGATCATTTATTTATTGTATGGTTTTGTTCTTACACCTTTATTTATTTCAAGCTTGGTTCATAAATAAATGTTGGTGCAACCAAATGTAAGTTTGTGTGAGCGTAGAATGGTGAATCTTTACGATTGTTTATTACGAGTCTACTTGTGTAACCGTTACTCCATAAAAAAAAGTGAGACAAATTTTGAGAGACGAATGGAGTAGATCACTAGTCTTGGTGTCGTGGGAGTGGGGGACACAAAAATAGTCTCAGCTATTACTCCATAGGATCTATATATACTGAGGAGAAATTCAAGTGAGTGCCTTTAAAAATGTCATGATTTGCAATATAAAAAGCTTAGGTAGAGTGCTAGCACATACAAGCAAGTAAGCAACACAATATTTCAGTGAACTATACGATACTCTTAATTCTTAATTCTCTCTTTATTTTTAAAAGTTACAACAAAATATATATACAAGCTGATTACAAAATATCTTGCGTGGTGCAAGAACTACAGATGTGAATCACATCATTCACATTATAGATTATACAGGAGTACTACTAACAGTTAATACCATTAAGAGTATTTATTGTCTTGAATGTTATAGTGACTCTGCAAACAGCATAATTTTGTAAAGTTAAACAGACAAGCCCTTTGAACAATTTGATCCAATAGGAATAATAGTCCAGCCCAGTTATCCCAAAGAGTTGATATGGGTCAGATGGTCCAGCGTCTTAACTCTAAAGCCCACAAACATGCAAAACAAGCTTGAATTAATACACTCTTTCTGGTCTATTAATCACCTTTTCTATCTCTTTGAGAAACATTCCAAAAATCACCCGAGTTGTATAAATTAAAACTATGCTACATTTTTACTTATTTTTAAGAGCGAGTGATGAGAATCAATCATAGGATCACCTGAAATCGGGAAGAGAGCTTTAACCACTTAAGTTATCCCTCACTCTCAAAGTATGCTATATTATAATATAAAGAGAAGAACATGCAAAATACAGCTATTTGTTGCATCCAATTGCACAAGCTCGAGACTCCAAATGCCCAATATGTTTAACATAATATGGGCGATATCACATTTAAACAGCTCACCTATTTTTGGTCCGTCAAAGGCCAAATTCAAAGTCCGTTACAATCAAATGTATCCTTTCATACTACATCAAATATCAAGGGCATAATTTGTATAGCTTTAGCACAGGTTTGACATGTCAAAGATTATGTTCCAATACAATACGTTCCTTCTTCAACCCATATTGATATCATGCTGATTGCTCGCAAGGAACAATTATCGCCTATGTCCTTACTCCCTTTAGAGGCACCCAAGGGCCTAATGTGGCTATGAACAAATTTCAGATGATTGATAAAAAATTGCTTCAAAACGGAACGACTGGCAAGACAAACAACGTATATCCATAGGGTCCAAGGTGGCTTTTAGGTCACGACAGTTTCTCTTCAGACTTCTACATATACTGCACAATACCAACTGAGATGAATGAACAAAAAATACTCCTTCAACTCTTCAATTTTTGAAAGCAGTCAGTCACTACAGCAGTACTAGCCCAATTACGCATAGATCAAATAATGAAGCATGCAAGTTATACCAATATACCATGACTCATGTGAGTTTCTCTTTAGACTTTATAAACTGCAAGATACTCAGAGACAAGAGTGAACAAAAATTTTCTTCAACTCTTCAATTTTTAAAAGGTACACAACAGTCACTACAGCAGTAACTAACGCCCCAACGTGTAGATTGTAAAATGATGTATACAGGTTATGTCATTGTTTACCCTTTGGTAGCCAGTGACAAGAATATCTACACTACAACCATCTCACTTAAAGTAACCATCTCACTTAAAGTAAATAAATTAAGGGGGGAAAAAAAGACAACAATTTACAAGGGATTCACACCAAAACCCTGCAACTTCTGAGAGCTTGAAGTGAAGTTCCAACCTGGCAACACTACAACCTGAGGAGAGAGGAACACTATTCTGTCTTCTCTGACGTTTCAGCGAGGAAAAGCGTTTGAGGAACCCTGTAGCTTCAGAGTTTGAAGTGAAGATCCAGCCTCGAAAAACTAGTGTCCGAGGGGAGAGGAACACCATACTGTCTTCTTGGACGTTTCAGCAAGGAAAGGCGTTTGAGGTGGCCCAAAGAAAGGAGAAGACCCTCCAAAAGCTGGCTAAGTGATGAAGTTTCACTCTGTATGGACCTGCACTTGAAAATTGCATAGAACTCTAGAAATGAAAGGAGACATAGCTGCAAGCAAAGCCTTGGGGCACTCCTCATGAGGAAGATGTCCGCATCCTGATATAGCAACTAATCTCTGCATAATCATGCGATTAATTATGAGCTTCATGTCAAAAGGGAAAATACAATGAAGTATGAATCATACAAACATGTTTTTACATATGAAAACTACTGGAGTAAGGTAAAAATTTGTAAAGAAAGAGGCCGTGAAATAACATTTTTTTTGGCACTAAATACTTCTAAATCCATACTATCACCCAACCTGCTAGCTGCTTTGTTTAGTTTCAATAAGCAATTTCATGCTACAATGACTAAAGCAGATTCTTCTAGTACAACATATGCTATATTATGCTTAGAACAAGAATCCATAACCATGCCACACTGATCTGCCTGACTGAACATGATGACCAAATTAGCTGGACCAACAACCCAAGATTGTAACTCAAAGCCAAATGGCCTTCATACAACATCATCTACTGGACAATCACACAGCTTGAACATTGATAAGGTAGATCAACTGTATCAAATGATTCAGTCCCACAATCCATGATCACTCCTTAGTCCTTAACCCACAAAAGCTCAGGACTTGGGAGATCATGATGTTACCGGCTAGAACCCAACAAGAAACAAGTGACAATTTTTTTTATTTATAAAAAGAGAGAGCATGAGGGTTGTAAAAGATCAAAATGGTGATAAATCAGACAACAGCAAGCGCACACACACACACACACCACCATATCAATACAGACACAATACTTACAGAATCTACAAATTTGGAAGCCATAGTTTGAGCAGGTCTTAAAGCAACAAGTGCATCTTCAGCTCCAGTGACAACCAAAATAGGCAAATCTTGAACTGCTTTTACCAGCGATGTTGCTTTTTCAGGCGATAAAACTGTTTCACCAGAAAGCTTACCAATCTCATGAAGAGCCTCATCCCAACCTTCTACACAGAGAGGGGCCTGATAGGATGCATTTGTAACATCAAGTTAAAAACTGACTTGACTTAAAATTTAAAAACCTTTTCCAGAATCCTAATCCTAAGACAGAATATTGTCTCACATGAGCAAAACTTATACCTTGTATAGGTTTAAAACTTCAGATGTCAGCTTCGTAGCGTCATACCATGCACGCCTATTTACCCCTTGCGTAATTTCTGTCCGCAGCAGTGGCTGAACCAAATGTTTCTTTCCCAATGAAGTGCGCAGAAGTATCCTCGCAAAAGATGGAACTACGTCTCGAGATAGGTCTGCACTCAGCAACACCACTGCTTTGATTGCAACCTGAAAATAAAAAGAATCATTCAAGTTCTAAGGCATTCTTCAGAAGAAAAAAAAATCAAAACATAATAGCTACCTGATAGAGTCTAAAGGTACAGTTGTACAGATGTCTAATTAATGCAAAAATATTGTCACACTGTACCATAAATGCCAGTAAGATGCATGATTAGCTGATTTACATCCCAATCAGCCAACAATCAGTACAGTGGTCCCTTCTAGTCTTGCTTGAGGAAAGATTTATCGTCACATGTGATGAAAGGTTAAATGTATATATAAACATCTACTAAACATAGAAAATAACATCAGCCAGTTCCTAGACCGTATGGGTTTACAGATGAGGATAGAAGGAAAGCCTTCATTTTTAAAGGGGGTGTGATTCTGATAATAGACATATCAAAACCCACATTAAGGAACTCATCTCTCTGTTGGATAATGATTTTCATAGAACCAAAAAATCACTACATAAAGGAACATTTTGGCTTCATTTGCCATGACAAAGCCTCTTCAGCAAGCAAGCAGAAACTTCAGAAGCTGTTGACAACAATTCACCATACATCAGAACATATGTCATGTTACTCAAGTTCGATGACAGTATTCCAGACTTCTGAAACACAATCAATTTAGCATTACCTACTTTGGGTTCAATAATCACCCTGTTAATCGCTCTACAATGCACCTACATTTTGAATTTTGTCCAGCCTCAACTTGGTCAAAGTAAAAAGTAAAAAATATCACCCCTCCTCCTTCCTCAAACACCTACTATTCACATGATTAGTTACACATAATCTGCCTAATTACTACTTCCAACTGTTCTCTGCCCCATAAAACTTCCCATTCTTCTTTTGATTCACAGCCCCATCAGTTCATGAAAACTCTTCTCGTATAACACAGCATTTACTTCAGCAAAGCAATGAACTGATAATGTTCAATCCCAAAAGAAAGCCAACCAAAACCATAATTAATTTGCACTCCATAAAAAAGTACAGTGAACCACAGCATCAAAAATACCGCAAATAACCATATGGTGTAAAAGACAATTAATTTCTTTCACTAGCGAAAAACAGAAAACATAAAAAACTTTTAAGCATGCACAGTTTTTTTTTTTTCTTTTTTTTGTGCCAACTTATGTACCAACAAATTAGATCAGGTATCTAATGCCCTACACCTGTAACCTATAAAATAATCCAACGTAGTCACAAAATCCATTTACACAATTTGGCTGATACTGTACGTTGCACATCTTTGACACACAACTAGCTTCAATGCATGCAATTTGCCACCCAAAACACAACACATATGAAAGGCCACAAATAGCTACAAAGAGATTGGTTTCCATCCAACTATCAGTAATTGGACAGATATTAAGCAATAAGCAAAACAAAAATTTATGAAAGGTGTAAAATAAATTATACACAACATTTACTGTACACAAAAACCATTCAGCTAAGTCTCAGATATATAGCCAACCCAAAAAACTGCATGAACCAAGCAATTATTACTCACATTTGCAGAACTCCCTGATGCTTTCACTCTTTCAGCTGCCCTTAATGCAAGCAAGCCACCATCATCATGGCCAACAAGTATCACTGAAGAAAACCCCATTTCAGAACAAAAGGACAAAAGCAGGCCCACCTGAAATAGGAACCAACACAGCATCAGCCAAAAAAGAAATTAAAAGGCCCAAATGACAATGATTGAAAATATACAAGACAGGATATTTAAAAAATATAGCCGACTTTATAAAATAAAGAAATAGATAATAAAACAAAATAAAGGAACAGATAATAAAACAATTGTGCCTCGTCAATAAGCAAGCAGATAATGAGCAGCCAATTTATAATTCTCACAAAATCAAACTTCTACAAAAGCAATGGTAACCTAAGATAAGTGGGCATCAATCAAGGCAATTCAACTGGGTTTAGTAATTTATCTCCAGTTGAAAGGAAGAGCTGAGTTCAAGAGTTTGATAGTTTTACTTTGAAGGATACTAATGACGAAGCTTAATTGTAAAATGGTCATCGGTGTTATGAACAAGGGAAATTAGTAAAAAAAAAAAAAATACACACACACAAACACAGAGAGAGAGAGGGAGTGAGACATGTCTCTGCACATCATATAAAGAGCAACAAGCTACAGTATTTTCAAAGTCTCAACAACTTCAGCTGATAGATGATACATATTTCTCATCTAGAAAGAAAGTTATATCAATCAATCAGAGCCTTAATCCCCCTATTAGAAAGAAAGTTATAGAATTTAAAAATTGAGAGCTTCTTGACACAATTACGTAGCACGAATCTGGCAGGCTTCTCACAGTATGCAAAAAATTACAAAAAGATAGGCAATGTAGCCACATGCAGCAAGACTGGAAATTAACAAGTAAATAAATTATGGTTTCTGTTCTAAAAAATTACCAATACCAAACACCAGGGTGAAAAAGGTGTTGCATCGAGTATTAACATTGACATGCAACATGGAAAGTCAAAATCGATATGTTGTATGTTTAAATAACTCTTGATTATAAGTTAAATTCGTTATAAAAGTTCCATATCCATTAAGTTATATTAGTTATAAAAAGAAGATGTCATCTAGAAGCTATACCTGAGTATCAAGGCTGTAAGGATTTGGCAATTGTTTCTCTTCCCAATCCTTCCTTAGTAGCCTAGGAGTCAAACCCCACCCAGGACGATCAAATGCAGCAACAGTTCGACCTACTTGACGTGCCAGTGTCCCCATCACATGTCTCCATGAGAAAACTCCACCTCCAAATCCATGCACTAGGACAATACCACACTCTCCGTTTGCTTCCAAATTTGAATCCAATTTCAAAGGGCTTAAATCATTTATTAGATCTTTGTCCTCCACAGCATCAAGGCTCATAGGAGGAAATTCATCAGATGAAACAGCAGAACGTGCCATATTTTCAAGCAATGGGTCAAACAAAGAAGAAGAATAGAAATTGTTGCTATAGCTTCTACACAGGTTATGTTGGGTTTTTGAAAGAGCATTAAATGGCCGATCAACATTTACCCTACCAATGCCCAGCTGAGGGCTACAGCTTCTACTGGGTTCAACAAAGGTTGTGGATGACAGAGAACATGCAGGAGAGCTAGGCATACTAATCTTGTAATGGAGCGTGAAGCCTTGACAAGTTGTGAATAAACTATCAATATCAGCAAGTAATCTGACAGGCAAGACACCGTCGTAACGAGTTAGACCATAAGGTTTCCTCCTTGTCTCACTGTCACTTTTAGGAGTAGCCTTTGCTGAGGAGGGAATGGGAGATCGTGGGAGCTTTTGATAGGCAGAGAGCAAACTCTTGCAAGACAGAACCTGCCAGAGGTTGATCACACTTCAGCATGACATTGGAAACAGTTAAACATTTCAAGCATAGCACTTTAACAGCATATAATTGGCTTTAGAGAACTGCAAGGATAGCTAATAAATGACAAATGTGCAAAATTTAAGTTAATGGAAACAAATTCACAACAATTAGAAGGCAAGCAACACTAAAAAGGATGAAACCACAAGGGGAACTACCGCCTCTGGATCAACCCGATGAAATAGAAGTTTTCTCCTTGCCTTGCAGCTAATTCGATAAGCAATCACCATATGGCCAAGAGCAAAAACTACAGATGACAGAAACAAAACAGGCATTCCCCAAGACTTCTTCAAATGAAGAATACGACTTGAAATAGAATGTGAAGCTTCAGCTACCATTTGAGAATTCGCAGAGAAAACACAGGCCTTTACTGACAGAAGAAGAATTGAAGAAATGGAGCATATCGTCACACTTCCAAGATATGGTCCATGAGAAAGAGCAGGAGCATCAGAGAGAGAATATACACCTGCAACGATGCATAAATCCGTAATCAATGCAAGAGTAGACGAGTCACAAATAATACACACAGCTACACTCATCTTCAAAACTACTTTCTCCCTGTCATCAGTCATCACCTATGTACATCCGTCCAAAACCCTGAGTTCGCACGTATGTATTTCGTATATAACATAAGTATCACATTATCCAAATTTCGCCAAAAACAACATACATACAGAATAAACAATTCAAGCACATTGCCGAACTAGGACTGTCCCCATCACCACCCACAAAATGAACATACCATACCGCATTACGGCCATAGCAAAGCCTTTACACCGAGAAAAACATCACCACCTAGTTACATCATCCGGTACACCGAAAATCAATAGCTACTAAAGAATGCAATTAAGCAATATCCCAGATGTTTACACATTAACAAAAACAACAAATGAATCATTCAACCAACAACATGCATAACTAACCAATATTCATATCAAATTCCAAGATAAAAAATTCTTATTCACCTCAATCTTAGCTCACTATAGCTAAAAATACAATCAAATTCACAGTTATATCAATAAATTGGATTGTAATAAAAACAAAGAAGAATTAAAATTATAAAAGAGTGACATACAGGTAATAAGGAGAGATCTGAGGACAGAAACGAGAGGAATATCAATCAAAGAGCTCTTAAAAGCGTATCTTCTAAGGTGTTGTTTAAGGCTATAACACCTAACACAGGTGAAGCTCGAAACCAAAACACAAGGTACCAAAACATCTCCAATGGCTACCAACAATGGCAGACATTGCACCAATAATGACGCCACCATTGCCAACATGAAAAACATCGTTCTCAAACACCTCCTCAACCTCTCCCACCCCGCCATTATCGACTTTCTGTCTCCTCCGCCACCACAACCACCACCTTATTCGAACAACACCTGAATAAAATCAAATAAAATTAACGAAAAAACGATTTTCAATGACTTTTTTTTAGGTAGGGTCGCGAGAGATCTGCGATCGTAACGAAGTCGAAACCCTAGCAGAGAAGAAGAAAACCGTCGAAAATACAGCGTCTGCCATAGCCAGTTTAAATTAACCAACCAACCGTTGAAAAAACGGTATTAAAACGAATCAATTTTGCGTCGTTTTGATGGTTTTCTAGATGATCAGAGAATTTCTGATGAGGAAGAAGATGAATGTAGTTCCGCCATTGCTAGGGTTTCGAAGGTTTGTTTGTCTCTCTCTTCGAGAATTGAACCAGTAGAACGAAGAAAGAGGTAGGAGAGAGAAAAAGAAAGAGGTAGGAGAAACCGGCGATTGTTAATAAACGGCGAAAATGGGTAAAATTGAAAAATATTTGATTTCGGCGATTTTTTTATTTTTTTAAAAAAAATGGTTTTGAAAAAAAAAAAAAAAAGGGAAAAGAAAAAGGGTAAATGGTGGCGGGCATGTGTGGCCCAATCAGTGTTATGGGTTATTGTGTCGAGTTGATGTTTGCTTTATTGGAGCATGTTTGCTAGGGTACTAATTTTGAATTTTGTGTTACCTTATTTTTTGTTGAGTTACACAATTTGTTTATGTTCTTTAAGGTAGGGGGGTTTCTAGTGCATTGAGATCTGCGTTTGAATTTGTGGCTATAGGTACAAGTAGCCTAAGTAGGGGAAGGGTGAGCAATTTCAATTCGTATTCGTATTCAAATTAAATTGAAATCGGATATACGGATACTTCATATTTCATTGATTTAGACATGAATTAAATCGAAAGATTTGTATAAATATTGATGATTATGTGGTTTATTAAATTTATAAAAGTATTGTTCAAACTAAACCAGATTGAAATAAATTTGGATTAGAATATGCCTAACATATTTGACATTTGCATGAGTACATTGTAATAGCTATCGTGAGGATGTTTGATTGACAATCAAGACTTAATAATACCTCAATAGTGTAGCATATTGAGCTTGGCTTAAAAACATAAATAGAGTATACAAAGTAGCATGCTAAACTTGATATTCAAAAATTGACTGCTTGTGGCTTTTGTAAGCTTTTTTTTTTTTTAACACAAACCAAAAGCTTAGCCATTTATTAAAGCATCAAGCTTGCAACATCAATACAAATAACCTCTTGAAGTTCAAGAGGGTACTCTTCAATCCAAATCCGACACTCACTAAAATTGCAACTTTATTTAGCTAAACAGTGTGCAACACCAACTTTTTAACAAAAGAAAAATGTACTCTTCTACGATCTCTGATAAGCCTGAGAATGTTCTTGCACCACCTTACCAAAAGCATTTGGATTTGTGATGCCCTTCTTCATCTGATGAAACAATTTAATGTTGTCAGTTTTAAGTACAAAATCCCTGAACCCTACTTCATTTGCTATCATGATACTCTGTCGCATTGCGATTTCTTCCCTAACATCCACCTCAAAGTTTCCCTGCGAGCACAAGCAATAAGCCAGCACCACATCACCGACACTGTCTCGCAGAATCCCACCAATTCCCAGTTGATGCTGCCCAAAGAAAGCAGCATCCAAGTTCAGCTTGTACAAGCCTGCACCAAGAGCTCTCCAAACCGACCCTAATTGCTGAACAAGTTGCTCAATCACAGCCTTTATCAACGCATCTTCAACTTCCCCAACAAGGCTGACAGCCTTATGAATAACTTCAGTTTCACTCTTTCTTTTCCCTTTGAAAACCCATCCATATCTTCTCAGCCAAACACCCCAAGCCAAGCACCAAGTCAAGTCCCACCACTTTGGCCCTTTAATTTCACTGTTCCCACCAGGTTTTATATCCGCGTTAAAGCAGAGAATCTCCAAATCATATCAACTGTTGAGCAGTGTAGCTTTTGTAAGCTACATCTACTCGGTCAATGATATTTTTAAGTTTGATAGAATATCACGTGAAAACAAACATATTTGAGTCATTTAATCAAAAGATGTATAATAAATATAATTTATTATCAAGTTGTTCACGAGTCTTGTAAATCAAGTTAGGAGCTTAGGACATTAAGAATTTGTGTTCAAGTTCATTTTCAACCAAGTCCTCACATTTGTTTAAATCTCTTACCACCCCTAGTAACAAGACCATGATCCTCCAACGAACTCAACATCAATTTTGGATCAAATCAATCCTCCACAACCCTTTAAGTTGAAAGTTAATGAATTAACTAGCACAAAGTCATCTTGTGGTCAATTGCCAAAACCCCACGCTATAGAAACAAAAAGATGATAACCATTTTATGAGTTCAAAGATTTATATCTCCTTGTAGGGTAATTAGTTTTGAGACAAAACCTCACTTTTTTGTTCATGCCATTTACAATTTCAAAAACTTAATATGATGTCAAAAGTAAACCTCTACTTATTATCCTCCACACTTAACCGGTACTTGCTTCGTAGTTACATACATTAGATGAACAACTCACGTGTATTGTTAAATGTAAAATGCAAATGTCGATTCCCTAGCCCCTACAACTCTATGTGTAGTAGTAAATATATGTGCACATACGGTAACAAAATTCTAAGGACAATGAAATGATTTTCGATTACTAAAGTAATATTTAATTTGAAAAGATCCTCATTTAGGCCCTATTCTTTTAAGCTTTTGGGCAGAGCAGAGCAAGGCAGAGCAGAACAAATTTCAGCATTATTATTTTTACTATTATTGTTATTACTATTATTATTACTACTTTTATTATTATTATTATTATTACTACTACTTTTATTATTATTATTATTATTATATCTCAAAAACAGACAAAGTCATACAACCTATACTAAATTAGTGGAAAGCCGAGATACAATCCGGGCCCCCACTCCTCTAGCTATAGCAAATCCTATCCTAGTGATATTATTATTATTATTATTATTATTATTATTATTATTATTATATCTCAAAAACAGAAAAAGTCATACAACCTACAATAAATTAGTGGAAAGCCGAGATACAGTCTGGGCCCCCACTCCTCTAGCTATAACAAATCTTATCCTAATGAAAATATTATTATTATTATTAGATTTTTTTTAGATTTTTTTACTCTTTTTATAACATTAGAAAATGTGTTAAATAATACAAAATATTAATTATTACCATTAAATATTAGTTATCATTATCAATTAATATTATATATTAATTATTATTATTATTATAAAATATTAATTATTATTATTATTATTAAATATTAATTAGTATCTATAAATATTAGTTATTATTAATAAATATTAATTATTTTTATTTTTATTTTTATTAAATTTTAATTATTATTATTATTAATTATAAGTTTTAAGCAGAGCAGATTTCAGCAGAATAGAGCAGATTTCAACAAAGTAGAGCAGCTCTAAAAAACAGGGCCTAATTATATATGGAGTATTATTTCTTCCTCAAGCGTGTCCATTTAATAATCAAAGCAAGCATTACAAAAGTAGATACTCCGCATAAATAATTTATCTCCACCTAACAAATAAAAGTTGAGAATATTTTGATGCATTTACATTAATTATAATAAGAAATCTGTCTGGTATGCTTCTTTTAAAACTACAAACTGTCAAATGGATAAAAATGACAATATAATCATATGATTGGGTTAGTGGAGAAATTGATAATGGCCATCCTCGTAGAATACCCTGTCACTTTTTTTTTTTTTTTTTTTTTTTGGACAGACACTTCTTTTTATGATAAGGCTATTTCGTTGTATAGAATCATTTGCATTGTTGTCAATTGATTCTACTTTGTAATTTTCTGTATACTAAACAGAATATTAATGCATTTAAATTTACAAATAAATGGAGAGCCATATTTTATAAATAAATTAAATGATCAGGTAATTGAGAAAATATTACATAAAATCCAAAAATTGAATAAGCAATTATTTAATCTGCAAAATATAATTTAAATTAGACAATTGATAAAATTTGAAATAAAATTATGTATTCAAGCCAAAATTCGATTTTCAATACATGTTTCTACCTAACTATCCTCTTAAAATTAATTTTTTAAATCAAGTATCTAGTAAATTAATTATAAAAGATACCGGATATTACTGTATTGCCACTTAAAAGAAGTTTTGTCCTTGAAATTTAGGACACAATACTAGAAAATGTTCAAATAGATTCATACATGACCTATAAATTACTCAAATAATATCCTAAAACAAATTTGGGAACGCGAAACTCTACCACATTCATTCCACCTCGTTAAAATAAAAAATACAACTCAACTAATATCCTCATATAATAAATCGAGAATATAATTTTAGATGTCATATGCCCATTTACAAATAGATTTAAATCATACATATGTATACTACTCACTCCGTCTCTGAATAACTGATACGTTGGACTTTTTTTCACTATTTATAAAATTTGTTGTTAGATAGGTATTGCTATAAAGTTTCATAATATAATTTTTTTATAATTTACATTAATGTTTACTTAAGTAAAAATAAGGTCAACTGGTGTATTGACATGTGTGTAAAGTTTGACTACGTCATTTATTATGAGATAAAATAAGTAATAAATTAATCACATAAAATTATCTATTTTCATCAAAATAATAATTGATGCATAGTCACATATGTCACATCATTATTAAAGGCATTCATCGCGTATAACCTACAAGCAAAATACTCCATCCGTCCTAATATATAGTTCCTATAACTGGAGGATAAAGTGGATGAAGTATATTAAAAGTGGAAAAAACTAGACAAAAGTTAGTCAAAATTACAAGACAGATGGATAATTTAGAGAAAAAGTAAAAGGTACAATTGTAGACAAAGTTAAAAAGGAAAAGTGGAAAAAAGTACAAGATAAGTAGATAATAATAGAGTAAATTAGGAAGTTTGATGAATAAAGTTTTAAAAAATAAGAGTATAATAATCTTTACATACTATCCAAAAATAGAATTAGGAACAACATTTTGAATTTGCAAAATAGAAAAACGTAAAATATAATATGGAACAGTGGGAGTAGCACATTAGTTACTCCATATCCATTTATCCTTCAAATATGAGCTTAAACGTTAGTACATGGCCCACCTTGTTCGGACATGTCGTTATATGGCTAACGGTCAGAAATTTCAAAAAAGAAAAAGAAAGGATCTGAAGTGGGGCATTAGAAATCTAAAACGGCTTTTTCGGACACTCTGTACTCTGCTGTTAGGACACTGAGACACTCACACACAATCTACGACCCAATAGATATAGTGGGTCGGATCCGTCAAGGTTATGGGTTGAAAGTTGCTTCAAATGTTGATGGCAATTCAGTCCGAATCCGCCCCTTGTCCGATCTGATTCGAAGAAAAAAATTCGAACCGAATTTGAGAAATAGTAATTCGAATCCGACTTCGTTTAAAAATTCCGATTCCGACTCGAAGGAGGGTCGGAGTTGGAGTCTATTTAAAATACGACTTATCCAATCCGACTCCGACTTTTCTACGTACTTGTATATTTTTTAATAATCAATTCATGAATTTATAGGTCTTTGAAGTTAATTATATATGGGTTGCTATTGATAATTGGGTCAAAATTAAATTTAAAGTCGGATTCAGAGTTGGAGTCGGAGGTTAGAAATTTAAGTCGTATCGGAGTCGGATGTCGGAGTCGGAGGTGGAGGCAAATTAAAGATCCGACATCTTGTAGGTTCAGAGTCAGATTTTACATAATCTGATCCGATCCGACCCATTGCCATCCCTAGGTTCAGGTTAACACAACGACCCAATGGTTTTAAGACCATTAAGAGTTTAAGATTAGTTGATTTAAGCTAACGGATTTGTTTGGCAATTGGCTTTTTCTATAGCTTTTGGTTTTAATATGGTCAAACAACCTAAATATATGTTTCGTCATTTGGCTTTTTAGTTGACTAAAAAGCTAGCTGCCAAAAGCCAAAAGCTAGTAAGATTATTAGCTTCTTTTTTTTTTTGTGTGTGTTGGCTGTTGACTTTTTATAGTTATACTTGTACTTACGTTTCTATCCCAACAATCAATTTTACCAAACATATTTATTTAAGAGCCAAAAGTCAAACAACCAACATAAAAAGCCAATATAAACAGTTGGTCAGACAAGGCAGGGGAAACAACTAGCAGCAAACAGTCAATCGCCAAACAAGCCCAATATGCCTTAGCACTAATATAAACTATATTTCATATTATTTTTTGCAAAAAAAATATTAAAATATAGTGAATGACAATGTGAGAAATTCAATTAAATTAAGAAAGGATTAAATTCTGAATTAAGCATATAAATACAAATTATAATGTAATGACTCATAGCATAACCCTGGCCCAACCGCCCAAATACTAGTCTAATTTAAGTTTTTTTAATCCCCATGCTTAATGAGTAATACAACAAATTTTAAAGAATGATTATAGAGATGTAAAAAAACTTACCCAACTTGAATATAGACGTGAGTAAGATTTTACAATTCTAATATTGAATAGTGAATTGACATTCTCATTTTTATATAAGGTGTACATTTGAAGGTTTTTTTTGTTGTTGTCCTTGTCCCTTTCCTATTCCCTTTCATTAGTTATAGCCTTATAGGATGCAATTTTGCTCCCATATAGTCTAATTCATCTCAATTCTCCCTTTTCTTTATGTAATCACTTTTTATAAGACTAGTTGTGGTAACGTGTGCCCTCCCAATTTGACTAAATTAATTTCGAATACTTCTAATTGCGATTAACTTTTTTAATCACAATATGTAATAAAGCGCATGACAAACATACTAATAAATCATGAACAAAAAATTAAGTGCAATAAAACGCATGGTTTTAAAACAGTTATTATGAGTAAGAATCTGGATTGGAAAAAAATGCTCAAATTTAGATTAGATTGATAAGTACAAGATAATAGAATAAAATAATGTTATTAAAACATATGATTTGTAAATGAATATTTGCATAACAAAATTGTTATATTAAATCGTACAATTTGAAAAAATTATCATGGAGATAGTCATGACTCATACAATCAAATTTGCATAACAAACATACTAAATTAATAACAAATACTACCTCCGTTTTTTTTTAAGTTGACACATTTTGACTTTAGCACTATTTACTTACTCTCCTTTGACCGTGTTTTGTGCTTTATACGTAATGAAGAATATAGTCATGTGGGATCTTGTTAGATTCGTCATAATGTATATTTTCAAAATATCAACTTTTTATAATTTTTGTTTATCGGTAATTAAAGATATTAATGGTTGAAGTTGTGCATTGACAAACGTGACTAAAGAAATGTGTCAACTAAAAAGAAACGGAGTAAGTAATTTCAACCAAAAATAGGTGAGACCGTGAGAGACTTCTTACTGTTCAAATAACCAATTGGCTTCTAATGATTTGCACTCTATTATTCACATCACATTAGATAAGTATTAGAGAGTGAGGTATAGCTCAAGTGGTTGAGCTTCCCTTCCTTGGGCAGCAATTGTGAGATAATTTCAATAAGTTATCATAGTTCAGCAATTATCAAAGCAAAATTCCAACTCAAACAATAATTTTACAATAAGTCTTGTGTAAGACGAGTGTACATTAATTTTATTGCAAGACAGTCAGTTTGGAGTAACTTTAACTATTTTTTTGGGAACTTTAACCACTTAAAAAGTAATTTTTAATCCGTTGTTGGTTTGAATCTTATTTTAATGTGTAATTTCTTATAGATTCATGATTACATATTATAAAGGCTAATATGATTAATCTAATATATTATAAGTTTTGTGTAAGATAAAATTTATTATTAGAAAAATAATAACTTCATATCATATCATATATCACTAATAAATAAAGTCGGTTTCGCAGCCATGCCATGAAACAACGACACTTGGCATTCTAGTTTTTCGCCAAGTGTCGCGCCATGTAGGCGACAAATATTTATTATTGTGACACATATGTTGCTAAGTAAGCGATTCTTGGATAGATTTTTTGAAGATTAAAAAATATTGTATAGAGTTTTATTATCAGTATACTTCTAATATTTCATATATACAAAATTAATCATAACTTTTAATAAATATCGTATAACTCAGTTTTTTCCATCATAAAATTCCTTTCAAAAATTTCTTTAAAACAAGATTCATTTATAATATATTTAATATAGTTAAAAAAAATAATAGAGAATCAATAAAAATAAGTTTTAATCAATAAAGATAATTTTGGTTTAGTAAAAATAATTTAAGTTTAATAACAATAATTTCAAGTCAATAATAACATAGATATCTATCTACAAACAAAACTACAAAAAGTACACTATTATATGATATTGTATGTCTAAATATCTTGTATTATCAAAAGGGATTATATGCCCACATTTAACATTTAAGCAAAAAAATTATCCTAAAATTTTATCAACAATTTATGCATCGCCCGAGTACAAAACTAGTAACTAATATATAAAGCTAAATTTTTAGCCAGGTCATGAGACAGCGACACTTGACATTCCAATTTTTCGCCAAGTGTTACGCCACGTAGGCGACAATTAATTATTACTATGATACATAGGATTTATTTGAATATATTTTTTGTAGAATAGAATTAGAAAAAGTTGGATGGATTCCGTAGGATAGAAAGGTTATATAAGTGTTTTATTTTCTTTAAAATTTGGATGATTTAGTAGGATAAAAAAGTTATTTTAGAGTTTTATTTTCAATAATACTTTTGGTTATTATATATAAATGTTCTCCTTAAGTCTTAACATGCAATCAACCTTTCCTTAGATGTTAAGAGAAAATGAAAATATATCAAAGATTTTGACAACTGTTCTTTTTTGGTTGTACGTTATTAAATCTAATTTCTTAAAGATTGTCAAACGATTATTACTCCATAAAATACCCATAAACGGATAAGTATGATTGCCAAGTGATTATTAATTCATGAATAGAAAATTCAAATAACATATATATTTTTGATAAAAAATTTATTATAAAATTCAATAAACAACCCGGGCATCGCACGGGCACAAAACAAGTTTGTAGTATAAATGATAACTTTAAAATACTTTTATGATAACTTTAACCTGTGTTACAATAAATTAAAGTTATATCATTATTTTCAATTGAAAATTATTACAATAAATACCAATTGAAAATAAGGGCATTGTTCATCTAAAATTATTACAATAAATTAACTAATTTATTATAAATTAACGTACACCCGCCTTTTTGAAGAATTTGTGATAATTTTAGATGAACAATGCCCTCATTTTCAATTGATACTGATGATAATATGGAGAATCCAAAATTGATAACAAATTTATTCACTCAAAAGTTATATCATCGAACTTTTCAATTGAAATTGAAAACATATTAATTCAACCCAAAAGACCAAAAGTACTTTTTTGATCCACAAAAGAACCCATATCTTTTGAACTTTTTTAGATCAGATTTGCAGTTCAATGATCATTTGATCCACAAAAGAACAAGATACAAGCACTGCAAACAAAAGAGGAATTCTCTACCTCTAATAACTTGAGTCATAAATGACTTTAATAACACGATGTTGGTATTAAAATTGTGTTTAGATGGTATCATCTAAATACCAATAAGGAATTATATCGATACCAACAAAACATTTTTACATTCATTGGTACTACTAAATCAGTATTTTGTTATAATGGTAATACCATCTAAAGTAAAAATTAATACCAATGCTTGTTATTAAGATTATTTATGACTCAAATTTTTATAGGCAGAGAATTCCTCGGAAAGAAAACCCATTCTATAGTTTCACAAATAAAACTACTAAAACCATCCACGAGCAATCAAATGGGGTAACTGCACATAAAAATATACTTCAGGTCAATTCATAGATTTCGGTTTCAGGTTCAGTCTCATACACAATTGAAAAAATAGAAGATCACTCGAATCCATGAATACATTCCTAATTAAAAGACAAGAAATTTATAGTCAAAAATTCTGAAAATAAAATGTAAGATTAACTTGTTGAACTCTTCTGAGGCCTTTGTCGTTCAGCAGCACATTTATCTACGGAAGATTTAAGAGAAGCCTCCAGTTCTTAAACATTTGATTCCAAGGCTCCCCCTTTTTTTCCAGTATATAATATGCTACCAAATATTCAAAACCGAAAAAATATAAGAGGACCATGAAAAGGGGAGAGTATACATTAAGGAAAGAAAATCATACACCGATATTCAAAGCAAGACACCTCACATTGAGATATCAAAACAAGCAGATAAATTAAAATCAGTATGCCTAATACTAATGACCAATTTTAAACAAATCGTGATAACTTTAAGGCACTAAAATGAATATTTTCCATTTTTAAGTTTGCAGTTTCAAATTGGAATTTTAGAGACATCATGTAGAGAAAAACAATCAGAACTAAAAACAGTAGCCCTTTTTACCTCTTAGTTGAGATGGACAAATCACTCCATCTCAAAAATCGGTTTATCATTACCCGAGGCTATGCAAGTCTAAATGATACCTAGTGTAAAATGACATAAAGATAATGATTATTTAGACCCGAAAAATCAGCAAAACCACTGTAAAATTGCATGAATTTAATTGAGCTCTTAATCAACTTTATGACTCAGTTAACTTTTACTTTTATTACTTAATCAAATTTTAATTTCACCCGGCACATATATTTCATCAAGAATTACATCTCATGAAGTACGTACCATTAAAAATCCTTAGGTGAACAAAACTTCTAGGAAGGCCTCTTTATCCCAAGTCTTATCAGGAAATGAAATTGTACTTGTTGATTAAGTATGATTATTGTTCTCTTCCATGTGTATGAAAAGAAGAGGTTCTTCGAAATGATGCTTGCTTTACCTATATGATCAGGTGGAAATGCATGCATGAAGGACAAAAACAAAATACAGGTTTACTACAATTATGAAAGAACTGCCGATAAAAGAGGAATAGAAAAACAAAGGAAAAACGGCCATACTATTTTAATAGGTAATTTGGAGCTTCAGTGATTACGAAAGCTGTAGTCGACATACAAAGTAGAGTACATAATTGGATTTACACAAAAAATAGCAAGGTGCAGAAATTGATAGGTAAGAAAAAACAAGAGATCAAAAGTTGTCCTCAGAACATAGAAATCATCCAGGAGAATGTCACTCACCAGGATATAAGATTATGCCCAAGGGTTTTTGAATTCAGCGTCATCCAGTTTCTGGATCTAATAAAAGCAATTAACAGCGTTAATGCTACTTATGGCGTGGGAAAGCAGTATATGAAGAATTCTAGACCCAGGATCCAATCAAAACCACTATAAAACTTGCAGCATATTTCATGTATTCAGAATTGGTATAGTCAACCAAGCCAAAGGTTCTTGCAAAAAAACTAACATTTGAGGAGACAAGATGAAGCATAACTTAAAAGCTTTAAACAAGTAACAATCCAATTGTAGCACACACATAATCTAGACAGATTCGAAAAGCAAGATTCATCAATTTCCTTCATTACAATATCCTACGACATCAGAAATTTCCTAAATTCAATGAGTGGCAAAGCATTTCAACTCAATTAGGTTACTACTTCAGCAAATTAAAAGATCTCAAGAGGGTTCGAACGGATATCCAAATACACTCTCGTGTGCATTCAGCTCTATGCACAGAAATACTCCAATTCTATAGCACCAAGTCAATTTACAGTCCTCGCTAATAGAAAGGGTATTATATCATCACATTAAGAATCAAAGTATACATCAGTTATCTGCTATTAGGATTTATGTCTTACAAGGGATCTGAAGAACGAAGCATGCAAAGTAGCATTTCCTTTTAAAACTAGCTGCCTAGGACCCACAAACAAGGATATCGTAAATAATGTATCACTTTGTGCTTTTCTTAGCATATCCAGTTGATAACAGCAGCAAATAGTGAAGGTATTCTGTCATGTGAAAGAAAACGTCACCAGATTTTCGCATGTAATCATATGATTGAACCAAATGTTAAGATGAAAATTTAGCTCGTTATCAACATAAATAGTTAGCAGAAATCTACTCTACAAACTTCTAAAGCTTGAACCAATCAACAATAAAGGACTATAAAAAGGCCAAAAATACAGAAAACTTCATTGTATGAATTTGCAAGGCTGGTTATAGGTTATAAACTTATAAATTCTACATGACCTTGCAATGATTAAATATCTGTTCTAACTAATTTAATCATATGGCAACTGATTACATATCTGTTCTAACTATTACTTCAAACCTGATTAAGCATATGGTGACGAACATAATTCTGACGTAATAAATTAATATATACTACATGAAAACTCATGGCATGCTGAATAATTGTCTCCCTATTCTTCGACTCTTAGGTTGGGCTTAAGGTGCAAAAATCTAACACAAACAAATACTATCTTACTTTATTGTGTACTGCATCACAATATAATCAGTACCTATAATCCATAATAAGAGATTCCTTCACTACACAAACCAAGGTCACTTAAGCAAATAAGAAATACGATATATCACAGCAAATTAAATTAACACGGACATTAAAGAATACCATAGTTTCACAATCAGAACAAACATTAAGTGGTCACAAGTCCAAGATTAGTTAGAACAGATATTTGAGCAGAATAATCATACAAAATCACAAATGCAATCAAATCTTTTGTATCACCAATAAAAGGAGAGAATTCAAAAGAAATAAATGACTTACACTAAGATTAATTAGATTCAACGTCCTCCGTCAAACAATCCATCATGTCTGCATAAACATCAGAATAACAAAACAAATACTCCGTTAATCCCAAAAGTTACAATATGTCAGTCCAAGAGCTCAAAATTTTCTATACCACAGCAGATATCTTATGAAACTAAGCAAGATAGATCAACAAAAGGTACTACTCCAAAATCAACAGAGCCATACATGAAACTTGCGAATCCTAATAAAAAGTCTATCAGTCATCAACTGCAAGCCTGCAAAGATTCATAGTTCCAAAGAGTATAGTAAAGAGCTACACTGTTTGAACCCGGCTTGTCAATCATGTCATCATGCTCTTCATTGTACACACTCTATCCAAATTACAGCTGTTAATTTGGCATCATTCTTACCAAAGTCACAATTCTAAAGTCAGGCAAAAACATCCATGCATCATAATCGATCCTACAAGGGTTAAGACAGTGCCTATGATACCCTTAAGAATTAACAACTGAACTTATCATTGCTCTCAATTCGACTCCAAGCAGTAAAAAAAATGCACAAAGCAGCAGTGTAAAAAAAAACATGGCAGACAGTGGCTATGATACCCCGTTTCAATAACAGGCTCAGTATGTGGTATGCCAAAGAAGAAACAACATTTATTGCTTCTGTAGAGCTTTTCACATCAAAATTTCCTTAGTCAGCCTGATATTCCAGCCAGAAAATTTTAACTTGATAATACTTCTTTTTTATAATCTTCCACGTCTATTAAAGGAACTTGTCAAGTTTAGTTCAACGCCGCACAAAAATTGCAAAAGGTTGCTAATTCAAATGGAAAGAAAAGCCAAAAACAGAATGATTTTCCGGCCAAAAATGGGGTATTCTAGGTCCCCAAGCACATGTTAAATTCTTATGGCCTAAAATATATCAGCAAGATCACTCCGCTCGTACAATATTTCATCAATATATATAGAAGTAATTTTAAATAACGGTTCAATAATTCATCTTATAAGTACCATAAACATTAAGTGAAAAGCTAAACGACACCCTCATTTTACCAAGTAACACCCGCATTTAAACATGAATGGACAAACATATCCTCGCATGTATTCCACGTTTTTCTTCCCTCTAACTCATTGTAACATTCTCTCCTCATTAGGTTCCAAAAGCCACATAAAGAAATTCCGGTTTAATATATCAATATTAGCAATTGATAATCTTTTAGGTCTTCACCAACTATAACTATTAATTCAATAATCCAAGTTAGAAGAATCATAAGACAAATAAATTAATGATGAGAATTATCAAAAGATTCAAAACTTGAAATCAACCAAACAGAAACCTCAGAAATTCAGCTATATAAAAAAAAAAAAAATAAAAAAATAAAATAAAAAGGATAATATAAAAAGGGGTTTAAGGAGAGTGTAAAGTACAACCTCCTTTGGTGGGTCAAAGTACAATCGTACTCCGCCTGATTCTCTAAACCTCCATCGCTGTTGGCTGTTGCCGCGGCTGATCTGAACAAAGTGGAGAATCAAACAATTGTTAGCAAAAAAATAAACATAAACAATCCATCATCGCCTTCAAAAATCAAAATTATACACAATTAAGCAATAATCAATTAATCACAAATCTAAAATCAAAATTATAGACTTTAGTTAACTCCATATTTCAAAGTGAACCCTAAACCTTATACAAGCAAAACGGCCACTTTGGTTTTTGAAACACCAGACGGCAGCACCGATAAAACGGACTCCATAGACGCCACCTCACAGGAACGACAGCAGAACAAACGATCAATTCAGCTTTTCAAAACGCCAGATGAAAGCTCACAAACAGCAACTATAGATTTGTGCAAGATGATAGTCTTCTAGTTCCTGCAATAGATTAAAACCCTTACTAGAGTTTAGCCAATCATTTTAACACGACGTCCAAATCATGTTTGGGTCGCTATCTAGGAGTACATTTTAGCTCTTACGTTCCCAAGAAAGAAGAGTATAATCTTATGCTCCACAAAACTGAATAAAGAATTCAACATTGGGAAATCCCTTTTTTTTATTGTCTAAAGTTGGACACCACACTCTAATTCAGAGCAATTTAGAGGCTCTCCCCTCCTACTTGTGCTCCTATTCTCTCTTGCCAATTGATGTTGCTTCCAAGATTGATTCTTCACACCAAATTCTTTTCTGGCTCCAACAAAAAAATAAAAACAGTCACCACTGACAGCTTGGGAGAAAGTTTGTAGCCCAAAGAGTGCGGAGCATTGGGCCTTCCCCTTATCTTACCTTTATATAAAGCTTTTATAACCACGTAGTAACATATGGAGAAAGATCCTTGCACAACTAGAGATTCTGCAAAAGGGTATCCGTTGAAAAATAGGTGATGGCAAAGACATTTACTTTTGGCTCGACAATTGGGTAGCTAATCAAAGTCTTTTAGAAATCCTCCACTTAGATGGAACCCAAGTCAATCTTAAAGTATATGACTTTATCTTACCCAATAAATAGTGGAATAAACAAAAATTACGAGCCCTGCTTTCTGAAAACATAACAACACAAATCATGGGCATTCAGTTAACACTTAATGATATGAGAGACACTCTCATGTGGGGCCTCATTACGCATGTTAACTTCTCAATTAAGTCAGCCACGTGGTTAGCTCATAATCTAAATGTTGAAGATAATAATTGGTCCCATCAGTGAATTTGGAAATTGATATATTCCCCCCGAAAATCCAGATTTTCTTATGGTAAATATTCCATAATAGTTTAGGAGTTCAAGATACTCTTCATAAAAGGAACATTATCTCACTGATAATCTGTCTAGCTTGTAATCATCAAAATGAATCAATAGATCATCTTTTCCTCAATTGTTCTAGAACTAGAGAAATGTGGGCTTTTCTCTAATAAAAAAGTGGTTAGACTATACAATCTCTTTCGTAAGTTTAACTAATACTTTAAAGTTTCTAAGAAAACATCCCAACACTTTAAGGAAATTTATCTTTCTCATTTAGAGTATTTGGAAAGAATAGAATGCTATAATATTTTGTAATAAGTCCTTTGAATGTTTAAGGATTTATCATCAAGCGCAATTTGCGTTCAATGAGTGGTGTCGTCAAAGATCGCTCTTAGATACCTTTTCCTCTATGGGATTTCCCATTCCGAGAGGCCACATCCAATCTTCACACACTCTCCTCATCAGTCATTCTTGTATCATGGAAGCCACCTCCGATCAACTTTTTCAAGCTCAACTACGATGGGTCGGTTCTCAACTACTCAGCAGTAGCAGAAAACATCATTAGAGACAGTAGCGACGCAGTTCTTAAGGTTTCTACTTTCAACCTCAGCAACACCAAAAGCATTCATTGCAGAAACTACAACTCTTCATAAAGGGGTCCAACTAGCTCTTCATTGCGGCATTCTAAACATTCAAAATGAAGGTGATAATCTTTTAGTCATCAACTCGATAACAGACACTTGGACAGTCCCTTGGCAGATTGAGCATGTTATTAAAGACACTCGTTCTCTCCTCTCTTAGTTTCATAATTAGAGCATCCAACAAATCTATCGGGAGGCAAATCGCGCAGCAGCTTGGAAAGCTAATGTAAGACATTTTAGTTCATGATACTATGAATATTGATGTTTGTAATAACTCTAATTTGTTCTCTATTCTTTCTTTTGATATATATTAGGAGTACCTCTCGTGAGGAGGGCATCCTAATGTTTTTCATTTTACCTTTATAAAAAAATATATCTGATTACAATATATATAAAGATTAGCTGGAGTATTATTCAACCTATAATGACTTGCTCGCACTAATGAGGCTATTGTTCAACCTCCAAAGGTAGACCATGAATAAACATAATCTGGTTGTTTCATGAGCCAATTCAATTGTCCAAAATTGTACCTAAAATGCCTTTCAATCGGCACAATTAGGGATGTCAGTGAGGCGGGGATGGATCTTGGTTTGGCGGGTGATGGACCGGGGTGGATTTTAGGTTGTACCCGCCCCATCCCCACATCCATATATTTTTAAAAATAAAATTATAATTTTTATATTATTTTATAAAAAAAATTATGTAAAGTAAAATAGTAAATATAATACTTTGTAATACACTTATATTATAAACAAAAAAAATGTGTAATATTAACAATAATTTTTTCTTTTTGCAATCTTTATTACTTATGAAGGATTGTGTATTTGAGAGGCGGGGATTAGGCGGGTCTTAGGTGGGGGTGGATATCCAAGTGGGGGGTGGGGCGGGGATGATTTTGGAGTTGTGCTCGCTGGGACGGGGATGAGGATTAATTTTAGACCCGCCGTGAGAATGAGAATGGGTATGAAAATTTTAGGTGGGGATGGGGATGGGAAGGCCAACATTCGCCCCGCCCCGACCCATTGACATCCCTAGACAAAATGGCCGAAAGTTTACCAAAGAATCGAAAATGGAGCTATTGATTTTAGAAATTCTAATTAAAAAAGTGAGCTCACGATCGGTTGGCCCGCATGCCAACTTGTAAAATCTTAAGGGTATTTATGTATAGCAACATAACGACATTCGTTTTTTTTGAAAGTCCGTTTTAACAACAGGTACAATCCGACTTGTGTCTATCTGTTAGATACTATTACCTTAAGCATCAAGGGTATCCATGTATATTTGCATAACGACATGTACAATCCAATTAGAGATCATTACCTTAAGTAGCAAGATTAACAACAAAGGTGATACAAATGGAAATGAGAGAATGTGAAAAGAAAAAGCCTTTCATATTTCATCTGAAATTTGTTATATACACAAGTTAGTTTTTGTTTTTTATTTGATGATTAAATGAAAAAAAAAATCATCAAAATAAGAACAAAATACTCATAGGTGTATGGTGCACACGAGTGTATATAACAATATGTCTTTCATCAAACAATATTAAATCGAAAAGCATTCACATTGGATAAAAAAAAGTTGGATAGGATAGGATCAAAGCAAGTTGGATAGTAAAAGGATCAAAGCAAGTTTATAAAGTTTAACCAAGTCAACGCTCAACACCAAAAAAACATAACAAATAAAATGCTCCATTTAACAATTATATAAAACTCACATTCATATCAATCCAAAACCTCGTTTACAAATTCAAATGCTATTTCAATTTCAATACTCCATTTAGCTATCGCTCACACGGTATTTCTCTCTCCTTAATTCTATTCGATTGTCTGGTTTCTTTATTAATTGGTGAAATTCTCATTCGATTTTCATGTTTAGGGTTTCTGTATGTTTCTTGATTGATTGAATTAGGGGTGAAATCTGGATTCAGAATTAAGGCATTTGTTACATTATCCTGCTTCAAAAAATAAGTCGATTTTTAATTTTGTTCATCATTTCAACTTTATAGTACAATACCAGTGCAATTTAAAAAACCCTGTTTTGTTATTTGTTTATTTATTTTTATTTTTTCTGGAATTGAATTTATGTATGATGTTGTAAACTTGATTAAACTGAGATTGCAATTTTGCTTATTCAAACGCGCATTAATCTTTTTTTTTTTTTTTTTTTTTTTTTTGGTCGAAATTAATCTAATTAGGCTGATGATACTTCTCGTGGATAGGTTATTCAAAGATTAGAAATTATATATACATGTGAAATTTTGTTAAAATTCATTTGTTTTTTTCAAATATTTTTTACTCGAAGATAGTAATATAAAATGTATGCATTGAAAACTGTACAATTGTCAAATGAAGAATATAACAAAGAAATGGTAGTTAATAGTTAGTGCCTAATGTGGTAGTGCCACCTAATGCGGTACTGTAGTATTTTTTCCGTCTCTAAAAGTTCTTCATATTTTGATATCCAAAACTCGATTAGGGTTTTGTTATATGATTTGGTATACTCACTGAAGCTTTGTTAATTGCTAATTTAATGATAGTGTCATGTGTGGCTGTGCAAGCCTTTCTATGTAATCAGAATATCAAAATCTCTATTTGTCTTCATATCTCTCTGTAATATCAACAATGATTTGTATAAGAGGGAGTTAGCATGCAATTGCCCTCGAAAAGTAAAGCATGATATAACAGTTTGATTAATGAGTATGGATCTTATTTTTCCAGGATGCACGAGCATGGATCATATGAATTCAGGATTCACGATCATGGATTTGAGCTCGAATGAGAAACCGCCATATAGTACGACTATATGGAATATTCGAAAATCTAGTGGTAATTTGCTAGCTGATAGGCTCAGCGTTTTACCTGATGAATTGTTAATTCAAATACTTTCTTTGCTTCCCACCACAGATGCTGTTGTTATGTCCATTTTGTCTAGGAAAATGAGAAGTGTTTTCCCTTTGATTACAAGCCTCGACTTTGATGATTCACCTATATCTTATTGTTTGAAACATCCCAATCGTATTGATCGTTTCCCTGCATTTGTGTCCTTTGTTATCAAAGCCATCCATACATACCAGTCTGAGCATCTCAGCAGGTTTAGACTTCGAATAGGAAGGGACTTTGTTACCAGGTCCTTTTCGGGGTGCACTATTGAAGGTACGGGTCCATGTGATAAATGTTGTTTCCCTGACTTGAAATTCCCCCTGCTTAATATATTGATCGGTTTTCCATTAAGCCATCATGGCCTTAGGGAGCTTGATCTCCGCATTCAGGTGAGGAAACCAGGCGAAGATCAGCTGCCCTCTGAGATTTTCACTTGTGATACGTTGGAGGCATTGAAGCTTGATGTCAATCTTGGTCTTCATCAAGTTTTCACCATGCCATTCTTTCATCTTCCAAAATTGAAACTATTTCACTTCACCACTTCCATTGTTTCTGAGAAAGACTTTCTGAATAAGTTAGTTTCAAGCTGCCCTTTACTTGAAGACCTCACTGTGCAAGCCTGGTGGAAGGATTTTCCTTTTACAACTGTATCTTCGCCTTCTCTTCGAAGACTTTGTTTAAAATTGTATCAACGTCTTACGGAGGAGAACAGTAACTCCTTGCATATAAATACTCCTAACTTGAAAAGTCTTGACTACTATGGTAACTTAGCAGTACACTACGATATCCAAAACATGCAGCGTCTTGTGAAAGCAGACATCAACATAAACAACGTTGGATATACTTCCGTAAGTCAGGAAGTTGATGATCCTTTGCAGAGAACACTTAGCCTTATCAGACCTTTGTCTATTGTTCAACATTTATCTTTGGCAGGCTTGTATGTGCAGGTTTGTCTCAATCTCTCTTCTAGCTTAATTACCTTCATTATTATTGCATGTATTGTATGAACTGTTAAAATTGACTGATTGCTTGTGAATCTTTGGGTGAAGATTCTAGATTTTTATGGAGTAAAGGATTATCTGCCCGTGTTTCGAAATTTGAAATATCTAGAGCTGGGTTATCGACAATTCTACTGGGATAAAGTGTTGTTGGCATTTCTTAATTGCTCACCTGTCTTAGAAACTCTTGTTTTTCCACAGGTCAGTGTGCAATTTCTTCTTTATTTGGTATTATACTGACATACATGGAATGAATTTTTGGTAATGGTGTAACAAAATTAATTGATTGTATATTTGTCTTCTGCCTCACAGGGAATGATTAATGAAAACATGGATATGGAAGTTTTTGAGCGACTGAAGTTGGAACGAGAGTTTTGCAGAACAACTCGAGTGATCCCTTCGTGTTGCAGGTCTCATCTCAAAAGAATTGTGATAAAGAAATACATGGTGACAGAACGGGAGATAAATTTGATCCAGTTTCTGCTGAGACATGCATTAGTATTGGAGGAATTGGTCATATACGTATACCAATTCCCCTGGAGGACTTGGCCTCCAATTGAAGATCGGAAATGTTCGCTTATAAGAACACTGCGAGAGTTACCAAGGGCATCAGTCACCTGTTTAATTAAAGTACTATGATCTGTTATTAATTTTTTTAATAGAAAGTTTGTTCTTGCTCTAAGTCCTACTGGTTAGGATTATAAAGCAAGATTACATATATTTTACTCCGTATTATTAGAGATGAACATGTTCAGTAAATAAACAATATATATGGTGAGGAGCATAATAAGCCTAATTAGCCTCATAGCATAAACATGTTAAAGATATTTAAGTAATTACTGAGCAATTAAATTGTCGAGGCCAGTCTTATTCAACTCGCGTTGTTGTTGCTGTTTTAGCAATGTTATTCTTTTTGAGTACTTCAACTGTATTTTGGTTAGCTTTATTGGGTTATCAATTGTAAATGGTATTGTTTGTTGAGTTATTGACTCAACAAGCAAAGGTTAGTGCTTGTTTGGTCGCAAGTAAACAGTGGGGGAAGTGAGACTTCTTAGGAATTTCACAATTTTATTAATTTTGCAGCTGTTCCAGTCCCTGTAGGGATGCCAGTAACGAGTATGGACTTCTGAAGGAATGCCTAATATTTACGTTATGATGGCAATGGTCAAGCCAAACAGCGAGAATGGGTATCAGAAAAGAGATGTTGATTATGCAACCAAATACTCATCATCATGTATTTGATGCTGAAATTAAGCTATTAATATTGCATCAGCTGCATCTTGCGAGACTGCTTTGAGCCTTTGAGGTGTGCGGTCAAAATGCAATTACTTAGACATGTAAGTACACCAAATTGGGTAAAACTGTAAAAGAGTATAGAATATAATATCAATAAATTAGAATAGACCTCGTGTTAACTGAACTTAACATAAAACTTTAACACGAATTTGTGTATCTAAATATGTCCTTTTATTTAGAGTAGTGCTTAAAAGTTTCACATAGTTGAGAGACATACTATGTATTTACCAACCATAACTTAGGTTAAATTTTCAAATACAAAGAGCTCGTTGGTAAATTTGACAGTAATGAGGCGGGCAGCAAGGAGTTCTGAAGCAATCTTCCAACACAGCGGCACATTTGAGTGCTCCATTTTCATTCGACTTTCAATCACCAAAATTTCTTCCTTAATTATGGTTGGTAACTTAGCATCTAGCATCATCTCTTGCTTTCCTTCACTATGTCCATCTGAGGTCACCATTTCAAGGGTCTTGCTTCCTGCTTGCAAACTTGCTATCGCTGAAGCGAAAACAAATGTATTCATAGTCAATTCATATCATATCATATTATATCATAGCATGTGTTATATTTTTTTAGAACTAAATATCATACCCGATTTCATAAGAAAGAAAAAGAGTTTGCATTTAGTGATATTTTCTGATAGATACTCCCGCGGTGTAAAATTTAAAATCAAACAAGTTATGATGTAATTGTGTCCAATTAGACTTTTCTCGAGGATAGTGAAAAATTGTTTTGATTTTATGTTATATAAGAGGAGGGAATTTCAAACAAAAAAACTAATATTCAATGAAAGAAATTCATCACACTTTCATGCTTATTTATGGACTATTTGTCCTACTAGAACTAGACCATAGTGAGTTTTTTGTAAGAGTTGATTAAAATTCAATTTGCAACTAAATAAATTCTAATAAAATTTGACAAGTTTATATGACATAAGATAAGTTCAGAGCAGTAAATTCCAGGTGAATCGAACACACTCTAACATGCATGTTAGATGTATATGGTATTTTTGTACAGAGTAATTGAAATGGATATAAAAATGGTGTGCAAATATACCTGAGCAAAGAGGAAAGAATAGCAATTACAATCAACTTCGCCATTTTTCCTTGTAGGTTTTTATGTTGTAGAAATGTAGAGGAGAGAACTTTTTCTTATTTGGTGCATTTTATTCATACCAAAGCTTGCATATTTATAACCTGCTCATCAAGAGTCTAACTAACCTCATCTCATTATGGAGTTTCATTAATAAGTATAAAAAACGTGATTCATGAAATGTCGTATTATTGAGGAAACTAAAGATTTGAATACCAGATCATTGATTATTCATGTACTACTAAATAATCTAGATTTCTAGAGTGTTGCTTGTCTATTGAAACCTTGTCAAATGTTCCATTCAAAATTTATAGTTAATGTTATACATCTAATATATTACAACAAATCACACACGTATCGCGTGTATATATGATTAGTAAGTATTGTTTGGGTCCAATTAATTCTCTATTGGGCATAACTCTGAAATGATATAATTCAAAGCCCAAAAGCAAGGTTCAACTCTCCAACCCAAGTGCCAAGTCAGTCAAAGGTCCGGTCAACGTGGCAAGCCCACTTGACTTCAAGGGCCCAAGTCATTTAATTGAGTAAAGGTATAAAAGCCAACATTTATATCATTTTACATTCATTCACAATCAGCCTCAAGCATCTAAATCTCTTACATAGCTCATTCTCTCTCTCTTCTAACACCGTACTGACTTCGGCATCGGAGGGGCCTTCCTCGGCACAAGCCCCGAGGCCAGTTTTACGTGTTCTTTGCTATGCAGAAAACCCTCGGCTCCAGTGTCCTTTGGACCGAGATCGATCTTCTCCTTAAAAAGGGCCTGTTCATTGTTTTCATCCGGAACAATTTGGCGCCGTCTGTGGGGAAGATACGAAAAGTTAAGCCAAAAAATCTAACCAGTCTTAGTAGAAAAATGACTAAGAGTGGCAAGAGCACCATGAGTGCTAAGAAGAATGGCCAGGCCTCTGCGAAGAGAAACAGAGACCTGATCACGGTGAGGGAAAATCGACCGATTTCGCTATCACCGGAACCAGTTTCATCTTCTTCTAAAGCTCCCCATTCTCCGGAAGGGGACACTTCGAAGGGTTCTCCATCCCACCATTCTCGCCGACCGACAAGTTCGCCTAGGCCGAGTGGATCAAATGCGAGAAGTTCTCCACCGCAAAGTCAACACTCGCGGTCTCAACCGAAAGAAACCCCTCCATCGGGGCCCTTTACGGAGGAAGTGGCAAGGGCCGTGGCAGTCTGTATGAAGTTCCTCAAAGCACAAGGGGGTCAACTCCCACTTACACCCCCCGAGTCTTCACCTCTTCAGCCGAGACACCTGAGAAACAGGATTGGTCAAGAGGAAAGTGGACAAGTTCCACCCTACAAGGAGCTTGGGGAGAAATGGCAAGAGGATACATGGAAAACCAAGAGGAAAAGGAAGAAGAACCCTCACTTCTTTCACCACTCCGAAACTCGGGACTCCTGAGTTTTCGAAGCAAACCACCACCATTGAGTGCGAAGAGTCTGCTCGCCGAAGCGTCCATGAACGCTTAGGCTCAAGAGAGGTGGACGTGCGCAGCCGTCTCACCTTCCCAGAAGGAACCAGACCCTACCCTGAATTGTCTCGGCCAGGGACGAAAACCACTTCCACCTCTTTAAGAGGGAGAAGCGAGGTCCCTTCGGCCAAGCAAACAGGGAAAGCCGTGATGGTCCCTACAAGCTCTCCCTTCCAAGGTTGGATATTGGAAGAGCATGTGCCGATGGTAAAAATACCATCGCACATTACTTACGATGACACCTCAGAACCGAAAGAGCACATTGCCTCTTACGAGGGGCACATGTATCTTAATCCCAAGCCCGAGGCTACCTGGTGCAAATATTTTCCAACCACCCTCAAAGGCGTTGCACAATCGTGGATCTCCAAGGGGGTGAAAGAAGGATCTGTAACAGGTTGGAGTGACCTTGCCAACAAGTTTAAGAGCAAGTTTTCTACGGCGAATCGCCGAGAGAAAACGACTGCAGAGCCGATGAGTCTGCAGCAAGCAGAGGATGAAAGCCTCCGAGACTATCTGACTCGCTTCAGCAACGAGTCATCCAGAATTACGAGTCTGGATCAGGGCCTTGCCGTATTCGCACTACGAAATGGCTTACAAGCTGGAAAGTTCCTTGACTTCATGGTCGTGCATCCCCCGCAGACCTTGGAGGAAGCTTTGGACGCCTCGGATAAGTTCATCCGAGCCGAAGAACGGAACAAGACAAAATCTCAGTCCCAACCCAGGGCTGAGAAAGCTAAGGGACAACTGTCCGAAGGCCAGGGGCCGAGGAAAGGGAAGGCGAAAGCCTCAGACCCTTCCACGACACCTCAGCCGAAGAAAGATAGGACCCCCTATACGGGGAGGTTTGAGTCTTACACTCCCCTCGTTCTTCCACGTGCTAAAATTTTCAGCACGACCAAGGATGAGGGGAGATTCAAGAAGCCGAGGCCACTTCCATCATGGCATCAGAAAAAGGGGAAGAACCAATGGTGCGAGTTCCACGAATCCCCTGGACACCGCACCGAGGACTGCCTCAAGCTGAAAGACCAGATCGAGGATTTGGTCCAAAAAGGCTACTTGAAAAAATACGCCGTAGAGCGCCACGAAGAGAAGAAAGCCGAGAGAGATTCACGGCAGGATTCATACTTTCTCCGGAAAAGGGACAAGTAGAATGACGGGGAAAACCTTGACATTCTCACTATTTTCAGGGGTGTTTCTCGGAATACGCTGAAACGCCGCTTGAGGGGCTTGACCCATCAAGTACATAACGCTGAGTTCCGAGCACCTCAGTCTCCAGTGCCGAACATGTTGTTCACAGCCGAAGACTGCAGGGGGGTGGTGTACCCCCACGATGACCCGTTAGTGATCACGACAGGCATTGCAAACCACAATGTCTAACTTGTCGACGGTGGCAGCGGGGCGAATATCCTCTTTTGAAAGGCGTTCGATCAGCTGAAGTTGGAGAGCAAACACCTAAATCTAGTGCCCTTCCCGGTAACTGGATTCAATGGCTCTTCATCATACCTAGATGGGAAGATTCTTCTTCCTGTCTCCCTAGGTCAAGGCCTGGCGTAGTGAAGCATTATGGCCCAGTTCTTGGTCGTTGAGGTTCCTTTTGTATACAATGTGATCATACGGAGACCCCTAATTCACGACATTTAAGGAGTTTTCTCGACGTACCATCAAGCAATGATTTACGTTTCGGACAAGGGACGCTCCGAAAAAATCTTGGGCAGTCAAAAGGAGGCCCGAAGATGCAACCACCTCAAACCATCCAAGAGTCGTCGCAACGACAAGGATGATGAGGAGGAAAAAGAAAAAGACCGAGGAACGAAAAGGCCCAAGGGCTTAAGTGCCTCGGCTCAAGGATCCCCAGTAAAGAAGACTTCTTTGGGGAAAGAAAAGGCTAGTTCTTCGTCTGAGCCAAAAGACTCAGGAAGTCAGCCAAAGTCTGGGAAGCCCACTGATATTGATAGCAGGCCTGAATCCGACGAATCTAGTGCTAGAGCAATGGAACTGGATAATCAGACAGAATCAATACCGTTGACCGAAGGAGATGATGAAAAATGTGTTAGCATCGGACAAGGACTAGATCCGAGCTTCCGTTTGAATTAATCCAACTCCTTCGAGACAACAGAGACGTGTTCGCTTTCTCGACATCATACATGCCCGGGATTGACCCGAACCTCATCTCCCAAAAGCTTAATGTCGACACTGCATGTCGACCCATTAAGCTAAAGAAGCGGAACTACTCCGCTCAAAAGAACCAAGACATCGCAGCCGAAGTCAAAAAACTTCTGGCCGCGGGGTTCATCGAGCCTTGTCAATATCCGGAATGGCTGGCTAGTGGTGATGGTTCAGAAGGCAAATGGCACCTGGAGAATGTGCGTTGATTTCACGGACCTACATAGGGCTTGTCCGAAGGACTTTTATCCCTTGCCGAGGATCGATCAATTAGTCAACTCGACGAGTGGCCATGCCTTGCTTAGTTTCATGGACGCATTTTCAAGGTACCATCAGATCTTCATGCACCCCGATAACCGAGTAAAAACAGCGCTCGTTACAAGTTTTGGGGTGTACAATTACTAAATGATGCCCTTCGGATTGAAAAATGCGGGGGCAACGTATCAGAGGTTGGTTGACCAGGTCTTCGCCGAGCAAAAAGGCCGAAATATGGAAGTTTACGTTGACGACTCCATTGTCAAGAGCAAAAAAGCAGAAGACCATGTTGCGGACCTGGCCGAAACCTTTGCCACTCTTTGCAAACATCAAATGAAGCTAAATCCGAAGAAGTGTGTCTTCGGCGTGAAGTCAGGCAAGTTCCTCGGCTTTATGGTCAGCAAAAGAAGGATTGACGCCAATCCTGCCAAAGTACAAGCGACTCTTGATCTTCCTGAGCCGAAAACGAAGAGGGATGTTCAACGTCTCACTGGCAGAATGGCTGCCCTTTCCAGGTTCATCTCTATAGCCTCAGACAAGGGATTGCCTTTCTTCAAAGCGCTCAAACTCCCAAAATCAAAAGAGCTCATCTGGAAGACGAGCAAAAGCAAGCCTTTCAGCAACTCCGTGAGCACCTAGCTCACCTCCCAACACCGGCAAGCCCAACTGATAGAGAAACGTTGTACTTATACGTGGCAGTGTGTCCAGCCACTATCAGCGCGGTGTTTCTAAGGGAAAAAGAGAAAATTCAGCAGTCGATCTATTTTGTCAGCCATACTCTGACAGATGCTGAGACACGCCACCCCTTACTCGAAAAGGTTGCTTATGCAGTGGTGGTAGCAGCTCGGAAGTTAAGACCCTACTTTGATTCTCATCAAATAGTAGTCCTAACTGATCAGCCGCTGGAAAAAATTCCTCGATAAGGTGGAAAAATCTGGTCGACTTACGAAGTGGGCTTTCGAATTTACCGAGTTCAGTATCAGCTATCAGCCGAGGCAGCTATCAAGGCTCAGGCCTTAGCAGATTTCTTAGCCGAGTGTTCTTATTAAGAGACACTTGACGAAGAAAAGAAGATCTGGACTGTTTTCACAGATGGATCCTCCACCGTAAATGGTTCGGGGGCAGGGGTTGTCATTACCTCTCCCGAAGGCAAATCATTTGAGTATGCACTAAAATTCTCATTCAAGGCTTCAAACAACGAAGCTGAATATGAAGCAGCAATTGCTGGTTTAGAGTTGTCACTACTAGAAAAGAGCTGATTTCCGACGGAAAATTTTCCGTCGGAATCAACGGAAAATCCGTCGGAAAGGGCCTTTCCGACGGAATTCCGTCGGAAACGTTCCACCGAAAAACCCTTCGTCGGAAATTTGGGATTTTCCGAGGGGAATTCCGTCGGAAAGTCTTATTCCGACGGAATGCACTCTGTCGTAAAAGAATTTGACTTTCAACGTCAGTTCGTCGGAAATTTCCGACGGATTTTTCCTCGGAATATTCCGTCGGAAATGTTCTTTTTCGACGGAATATTCCGTCGGAAATTTTATTAAAAAAAATATAAAAAAAAAGCCCAGCTCCCACCACCTCCCTGTCCACCACCCTCACCAGACCACCACCTGACCAGAACCAGACCCAAACCCCACCACCATCATAGTAACCCACCCCATCCATTTAACCCCTTAACCCACCCAACCCCAGCATCGTAACCCACCCCACCACCCTCACCAGACCACCACCTGACCAGAACCAGACCCAAACCCCACCACTGTCACCCACCCCACCCATTTAACCCCCTAACCCACCCAACCCCAGCACTGTAACCCACCCCACCACCGTAACCCCCTAACCCTAACACCAGCCAGACCCACCACCAGACCCACCCAGCCACCCACTAGCCCCACCAAACCCACCCACCAGAACCACCCAGCCACCCACCAGACCCACCTAGCCACCCAAAAATCTGAAAAAACACGAAAAAAAATCTGAAAAACAACAAAAAGTCCGAAAAAACAAAAAAAAAACAGATCTAATACAAATAAAAATCCGAAAAAAATCCAAAAAAACAAAAAACAAGTTGAATATATAAATAAAAATTGAATATACAAACAAACAAATTGAATAATATAAATCTATAATCAAAATAAGAAAAAAAAACAAAAACAAAAACCGTCTTCAATTTGTTCTTCAAATCGGGGGCGTTGTTGTTGATGTAGTTGAGGTTCGTTGCTGTGTGGTGCCCAGAACCCTTAAAACCACCACCACCGTCGGCCAAAACGAAGGAGAAAGAAAGGAAGGAGAGGAGGAAGGGACGAAGGACGAAGAGGAAAAAGGGAGGAGAAGGAGGAAAGGAGAAGGACGAAGAGGAAAGGGGAAGGATAAGGAGAAGGAGAAGAGGAAAGGGGAAGGAGAAGGAGAAGGAGAAGAGGAAAGGGGAAGGAGAAGGAGAAGAAGAAAGGGGAAGGACGAAGGACGAAGAGGAAGAGGAAAGGGAGGACTGGGTTCTGAGCGTAGGGGAGGGGAGAAGAAGAAGGAAGGAGAACAGAGAAGACGGAGGAAAGGAGAGGAGAGAGAAAGAGAAGAGAAAATGAAATACCAGCTAGGGTTTCAAAATTTATATAAGGATTTTCCGACGGATTATTCCGTCGGAAATTTCCAGCTTCCGACGGAATTTTCCCGTCGAAAACGGTAATTTCCGAGGGAAAAAAATCCGTCGGAAAATCCCTCGAAAATTTTCCGACGGAAATTACCTTTTCCGACAGGCCAAAATTCTGTCGGAAATGTCGAATTTTCCGACGGAATGTATGTCCGTCGGAACGTTTCTGTCGGAATTTGACCTATTTCTTATAGTGTGTGCACAACATTGGAAGCTAAACATGTCTGTTTGAAGACAGACTCCCATCTTGTTGCAAATCAGATCCGAGGAGAATATGAGGCCAAAGAGCCCTCAATGGTTTCTTACCTCGCAAAGATCAAAACTGTAATCGTGAAGCTGAGATCTTTTGAAGCGGAACTGATCCCAAGAGGTCATCAAGCCGACGCACTCTCCAAACTTGCAAGTTCATCTCTAACCGAGCTGAACCGATCTGTTTATGTGGAGGTGCGCCGAGAAAGAAGTGTTGACCAAGAACCTGAGGTTTGCTGCGTCGCACATGAGCCAAGATGGATGGATCCCATCCTTGCTTACAAAATTTGGGGAGAACTTCCCGAAGACAGGAAATTAGCCTCTAAGATGAAAAGACTTGGTTCAAGGTTCATCATCTTCAAAGGGGAGCTCCTGAAGAAATCATTCCCAGCCCCACTATTGAAGTGCGTGGGTCCAACAGATGCAGATTACATCCTTTGGGAAATTCATTTCGGCATCTGCGGGAACCATATAGGGGGAAGAACTTTAGCCCTAAAGCACTAAGGGAAGGATTCTATTGGCCCACAATGATTCAAGATGCTAAGGAACTGGTCAAAAAGTGTGAAAAATGCCAAACATTTGCACCAGTCATCCGTCAGCCGTCCCGAGATCTTCAGCCAATCTTGAATCCACTTCCATTTGCTCAATGGGGATTGGACATTTCGGGACCTTTTCCCGATGCTCCATACCAAGAAAGATGGCTGATAGTCGGCATAGACTATTTCAGCAAATGGATCGAAGCCGAATCATCTTCGAACATTACAGAGCAAATAGTCAGAGAGTTCATCTGGCAAAACATTATCACTCGCTTCAGAATTCCGAAGGTTTTGCTCTTTAATCGTGGGAGGCAATTTGATAACTTGCCTCTAAAGCGGTACACAAATCATTTCGGCATTAAATTGGCGTATTCTGCGGTTTGCCATCCCCAGAGTAATGGTCAAGCCGAAGCTGCAAATAAACAGATCCTTAACGCTCTCAAGAAGAGGGTTGAAGATCAAAATTCCAAGTGGATAGAGGAACTCCCAGGGATTCTCTAGTCACTTCGGACAACGGAAAAATAGGCAACAGGGCATTCACCTATTGAATTGGTGTATGGATCCGAAGCCATTCTTGCAATGGAAATCGGCTCAGAAAGTCTCGGAGTAAATCTCTTCTCAGCCGAAGAAAATGAGCAACTCATGAAAGAATCACTCGACTTCGTTGATGAGATCAGAGACTCGGATCGAGACAAAATGGCTGCTTACAAGCAGAGAATCAGCAAATTTTACAATCGAAGGGTCCATGCAAGACTTCTCAAAATTGGAGATCTTATTCTTCGGAATGCTGCTGCTGTACAAAAAGGCCGCATTCATGGGAAACTCTTATCTACTTGGGAGGGACCTTATGAAATATATGATGAGCTTCAATCAGGGACATACCAACTTTGGCAGTTGGATGGAACCGAGTTGAAAAACCACTAGAATGCCGATGTACTTAAGAAATACCATGTGTAAAGCCCTTTTTGGGAAGAACGGTCTATGTAAGTACATCTCACTATTAATGAAAGGCCGTAGAGCCACAAATTGTCCCAAATTCAGCAAGTTTCTATTTTTTCTGTCTTTAAATAGTGTTTGAAAATTCAAGGTTTTGGTTCGGCGCTGTCCGGAGTATTGCATAATGATGCATTGTACTTCGGCAAGTCGTAGAACCAGCCAAGACGAGGATAAAAGATAAAAGCCCGTAGTATTGCATAATGATGCCTTGTACTTCGGAAGAATCTGTTCCTCTAGGCAAATGGGCCATAGGCGCATCCGAGACATAGCCTAAAAAATAGGAACTAATAAAGCCCCAAAGTATTGCATAGTGATGCATTGTACTTCGAATGAATCGGTTCCGGGTGGTGATTGCATTTCCGAAGTATTGCCTAATGAAGCATTGTACTTCGGATAGATCACCGCCCCGACATTGTGTTTCGGATAGTCGTTCCCTTGGATGAATTAAAAAGGTTCACAAGAGTATTGCTTCCAAAGCCCTTGGCTTCTTAGCAAGAAATCAAACCTTTCGAAATCAAAATAGAAGGAAAAGGAAAATGAGCGGAAACTACAAAATTTTGCTAAACCAAAATCCTTGACTGTACCCCAGCAGTCGAAGCAATCACCTCAGAAAACCTGAAGAAATCATCTTTAAATTTTTGAAGGGGGCAAGAGGCACCCAACTAGCCAGTTCCAGGCCAAGCCGAAGTTTAATACTTAATAAATTGAAAAGTTTTCATAAGATGAAAATCTGAGTAGAAAGACCAAGGCCAAAAAGGAATGAAAGCAAAATGTGCACTCTCAATAAACGAAAAGTTTTCAGCTAAAAGTATCTTCAAGCCGAGATTCTACACTTACATAAATTTTGTTGAAATTCAAGAAAAGCAGCTAAGTACAGAAATAAACAGGCAGTAAGAGAAGGAAGCTGAGAAATACTTCAAATTCATAAAGTGAGGATTTCAAATTGTCAAACTACAAAAAGGAATTCTAAATCGGCAGTCGCCCACAAGCGGAAAACATAGCTGCCGAACCAAGTACAAAGTTAAACAAAAACATAAAGTGTTTTGTACAAATTCTAGGCAAGCTGAAGACAAAAACTAAGGCAAAAACAACTGCGACATAAATCAATTAGGCACATGTTGATCCGCAGGATTCCGTAGACAACTGCTCGAGTTCCTATGCTTCAGCATTCCCAAGGCCAGTGCTCGGAACGTTGGAAGCCTCGGCGCCAGCGGAGGACGAAGCAGGGCGAGCAACATCTTGTTCCTTCTTTGCATCCTCCTCTTCCTAAGCCTCAGCCTCAGCTTGCCGAGCCAAGAAAGCGACTTCAGCTGGGCTAGCCTCATGGATATGGGTATCTTCCGGGAATACAAATCAGGCCTCGGCTTGATCCCAGTTGATCCCGGAGGCGACATGAAAAGCCAAACGTCGCGCTGTCTTGAAGCCGTTTTCGAACCCTTCAGCATACTCTTCCTCGGTGTACACCCGAGTCTCCAGCAATTTTTGGGCAGCTTCAAGTTCAGCTTTATCCTTGGAGGCTCCCTCTTTCTGAGTCTTGAGCTGGATTTCAGCCTCCAGTTCAAATTGCTTTTTCTGGGGCTCCTCAGCAGCGCGAGCAATCTGACCTTCCAAGTCCACAGCCATGAGACACTGAGTCTCAACTTCCCTTTGCACTCGCTGCTCGATATGTTCCTTGAAGTTAGCGATGCTGTTAGCCTCGTACTCTTGAATAAGAGCATGTCTTCGTCTAGCCAGGGAAAGACAGTCTGCTCCAAGCCTTGGCTGAAGCTGAGAAAGTTGGCGCTCATAGACTCCATATCCGCTTTGAGAGCTGAGGCAGTTTCCTCTGCATCTAGCCTCTTCAGCTCAGCGATGTTTCTCTAGCACTTAGCCTCTTCGGCTTCTTCAATTTTGGCCCTCAGCTCGTTATTCATTTCCACCGCTAGGAAGTGGTTATGAACAACCTGCAAAAATATAAGCATAAACAACGAAATTTCAGCCGAAGAATGGAACTTAGAGAATTTTCAAAAAAATCAAAATCAAATCAAAAGCTTAAGGGCAAAATTTCACCTGTATTAAAAGCTTCTGATTTTCCAGAAATGGGTCCGGCACTTTGGCAAGTGGCTCAGACGCCCCGGATGCTGCTCCAACGATCCAAGCTCGAGCCCTGTCCAGCTCAGGCAAGTTTGAGGTGTCGCCGAAAAACTCGGTCACCGAACTACACTTGGACTCATAAAGGTTCCGAGCATGCTCAGGAACAAGCACTAATGGGGCCGAGCCGAACCCCATTTCAGCTGACTGGAAAGTTCTAAAGGAGCTAGCAGCTGAGGTGGAAGGTACTTCGATGTTTTTTGCCTCTTCAGTTACCTTCTCAACCTCGGCCTCCTGCAGACCTCCTTCTCTCAGAGCTTGCGCTTCATCCTCAGTGTTAACGAACAGCGCATCGACTTCCCTCCGAACATCCTCGGAGAAAGTCTCAGCCACATGGCCTGGGGCTAATGGAGGGGTTTTCGGCAAGGCAACGTCCTCGGCAGGAACTTCTTGAGAAGGGGGAGTTTTCTCCTTTACTTCTTTAGGCCTTTCCTCCTCAAGCCGAAGCCTTTTTTCTGGAAGGACTGGAGCACGGAACTGTCCAGGCCGGACAAGTTGTCTTCTCCTTTCTGACCCGCCATTTCTTCGTCTGAAGAGTGTTCTGGGGAAGGATTTGCTTCAGCTAGGTCTCCTTTGTTCTCTTCTTCTTCTTAAGACTGCAGCAGAAGGAACAAGGGGGGCAAGGACCAGTGTAAGTAAAAAAAAAAAAACCTTCAAGCTGAAGCCTAGGAAAGCAGCCGAAATCTATACTTAGAAAATTTTCACAAGTTGAAAAAACATCAAGAACTCACCGAAGTCGCCAATAGACGCTCGTCTTCAGAATCCTCTTCTTCTCCCCTCGGCCCAACAGTTGAGGTAGAGGGCTCGGCTCTGCCTCGAGAAACTACAGCAGCAATAGTAGCATCAGCTTCTTCTTCAGCAGAATCAAGAAAAAAATGATCAATCTTTTTATACCAAGGCTTCTGCCTCTGGTACTCAAAAGCGCTAACAACTTGAAGTTTCCTCGGATGCAGGGAAAGAGCCCGATCTTTGGACTCAGTGATCTTCGGTGTATTTGTGATCGGATTCCTTTCCTGACTGATCCCAAGCACTCTGTAGTCAATGCCTGAGTTTTCTTCGCACAACTCTAAAAAGTCAAAGGAGTAAGAATTAGTTCGGCTGTTAGAGTTAGGCATCAGAAATCAGAGAACAATAAAGAATTAAAAAGCCTTCGGCCCCAGCCGAATCCCTTACTGCCTTGGTATCTTCGGCAGAGGCCGACAACAGCGAGAATCTTCTCCAGGAAGATGTAATGACAGCAAGGCAACCAAATGCTCGGCACATTCGCCATTCGACTAGTAGCCCCGGGCATATGGTTTCGGCCAAATAGCTCCATCTGGCGGCGATCGGCATCGGTGAACTCATTAGGGCCGATGCTAGACATTTTGAGATCTGGTTTCCTTAGATATCGGGGACCGCCGAAAAAGTTCGGATGATTTTCGTCTAAGGGCGCTCGGATCTAGATCCACTGCCCCCTCCAATCCTTATTCGAAGTATCGTTCGGATAAGTCGAAAGAAACCCCCTTTCATCCTCGATCTGCCACCGCCCAGGACCATGCCATTTGTTAGATTGGGTGTTCGGCATGAGCTTATGAATGCAGCAAAAACAGTGCACGCTCGGCTCCAGCCCGTAAAATAAGCAGACCCAAATATAGGTCATAATCCTTCGGATACTCATAGGAGTCAGCTGGGCCAAGGATATGTTGTATCCGTTCAGCAACTTTATGACGAAGGAATGGGCCGAAAATCGAAGCCCGTATTGTAACTGCCTAGTATAAACCCCGATATACCCAGGTGGGGGTCGATGGATCCTATCATCAGCACAGGGCATCCGGCACCAATAGTCATTCTCCTCCATGATGCCGTAATAGATCTCAAGCTGCTCGGCAAAATAGTACTTGGCGTTATTCTTAATCCACCTTGAGTAGGGTGCCGCATTCATTATGCACTCGTTCTCTCTGACATCAGTCCACTCCCGTTCCTCGGGAGTCAATGGCCTTGACGCCGAAGTCTCTCTTCGGCCAGTGGTACTAGTTTCAGCTGAATCTGCAGGGGGTATGCTAGTCAGGGGCACAGCTCTCAGCGCAGCGCCCCTTTGGATAGCGGCGGGCCCAGTCCTAGCGTTAGGGTTCTGGCCGCTGAGGAAGGGCATCATCGCCAAGGGACGATTCCGCCTCGATATTAGCTGCGGCGCCTCCTCCTTTTCTTCCCCGGCGCTCGATTCAGACCCAGCTGGCCCCTTTCCCCGGTCGCCGGTCATGTTAAATCAACGGGAGTTCGAAAAAATAAAGAGAGAAGGGTGCTCGAAAAGCAAAGAAAACCGAAGAAATTTCAAGAAAAATTACCTTCACCAGATGCGGAATTCGCCGATCTTTAAGTTCGGTGCAACGGATTTCACTTTAAAAGTCTTGGATTGCTGGGAATGAGTGAGAAAAGAATTCGGGTTAAGGGTTGAAATCGAAGAGAAGCTGGGTTTGTATGAGCAAGAAGTATTAAAGTGAGGCAAGATTGTGATGCGAGTGGCTTAAATATTTTTCGGAAACGAGATTTTCGGAATTAACGCCGCTGAAAACCCCACTAATTCTACTTTAATTACCGGTTGTTCGTATTCCTCTCTAAATTAACTACCCACTAATCTTCTCCACTTCCCCATTACTTCTTAAGTAACGGTTAGTATCCTTAATGACCTCTCAACTTCTTTAAATTAAAATTATTATCATTTGCTTCCCTCCAATTTTGCAAGACAAAACCCGACGCGTCATTCCTCCAAGTCGGATTTGGGGGGCAAGTTGTTTGGGTCCAATTAATCCTCTATTGGGTCTAGCTCTCAAATGATATAATTCAAAGCCCAAAAGCAAGGTTCAACTCTCCAACCCAAGTGCCAAGTCAGTCAAAGGTCCGGTCAACGTGACAAACCCACTTGATTTCAAGGGTCCAAGTCATTTAATTGAGCAAAGGTATAAAAGCCAACATTTACATCATTTTACATTCATTCACAATCAGCCTCAAGCATCTAAATCTCTTGCATAGCTCATTCTCTCTCTCTTCTAACACCGTACTGAATTCAGCATCGGAGGGGCCTTCCTCGGCACAACCCCCGAGACCAGTTTTACGTGTCCTTTGTTGTGCAGGAAACCCTCAGCTCCAGTGTCCTTTGGACCGAGATCAGTCTTCTCTTTAAAAAGGGTCTACTGAAGGTCCCATTGTTTTCATTCGGAACAAGTACTAATATGAGATGAGTAATGGGGGATCCGTTTCTAGCTCTATAAACATACTTTGCTCACCTAATAAAATGTTGTAAAATGGCTGTATACCGTAGACGGCAATGCTAGTAGTGGTGATCAAGTTTATTTTTTAATTTGTTGCAGTTTGGTCATGTTCAATGTAAATTATATGAAATTGAGATTGTCTTTGTGATCGCACAATGCATCTCCAAGATTGATGATTAATGCACATATGCCATTGCTGCATTGGGCCATTGATAATTGAGCATATGTTTTGCCAAAGCCCGCGCAATATATGAGTTTGGGTTGGCCTATAACTTAGAATTGCAACTCTTAATCACATATCTTTCACTTTATGTAAGGTTATTACACGTTGTTTGGATCGAAGGAAAGGAAGGGAAGAGAAGATTATCTTTATACATTGAGTTGTATATATAATGTACGGGTTAAAAAAATATGTCTAAAACTATTTATCTCTTGCTTTTTCTCTCCTCTTGAGAAAAAACAAGTAACCCCTTATGTTTTATAGTAATTGCAATACTTTGACTAGCATACATGTCAATAAACAACTTTGACCATTAATATTATAATTATATATTATTAAGAATTATAAAGATTAATATAATGAAAATATACCTAAAGACTAATCCAAAAATATTTTACATGACAACATATGTCTTTTATGTATTGGTAAAATATATAATCAAAATAAGTATATAAATAGTGCAAAAGTCAAACTGTTAAAATTATTACGAAATAAAGGGAGTAATATTTTGACAAATATTAATCTTTTGGAAAAATTCACATGATAGTCTTCTCAAATTAATCCCAACTATGGGTTATTATGAAATAATCCCAACTATGAAGGGTGTCTTCCAAAAATGATCCGGTATGACTTGTAACCACCGGTCCATAACTACCGGTCCACCACTCTTAGTCAGCTCCCTTCCACTACCCAGCCACCTACGTACGTGCACCATTCTTTTGCTTGCCCTCAATGACTCAATCTCTCCTTCGCTTCCTCTCTCCTCCTCAATGCCATTGTTGACCACTGTCGTCCTCGGCTGCAATCACGGCCTTCCCATTCTTTCCTTTCGATGGTTAGTTCGAACAAATAACCACCATTTATCGCTTTCTTTGTTAGCCACAAAACACCGCACACCATATCCGCACCAATGATCGGCGTATTACTACTCATTTTACTCAACACCGATCGAGTTCAGCTCCTACCTCATATCTCCATTCCAATCTCACTCCCCTGCTTCATCTTGCCCCTAATTTCTCTCCTCTTCATTCAAAACTAATGATTGTTGTTTTCTTAATTTAAAAGCAATGGTCAAACAACAATAATTTATATAAATGAACAATCATTAACGACAATGATAGTTTATTTAAGTAGTATAGATAGGTTGTAGGTTGTCTGTTGTTGTATTGGAATTTTTCAAGATACTAAGCCATAAATTATTAAATTGTAGCTCTTATATTTTCTCTCATTGCGGTCAAGTTCAATCAACAATGTAAGCTCTTCTCCTCCTCTCTTTTTCCCTGAACTCAATAATTTTAAAAAGGACAAGGTCGACCTTTTTTTTTGGAGATATATTGTTTGGGTCCAATTTCATTAATCAATTGGGCCTAGTCTAAATAACTCAAATTGCAAGCCCAAAGCAAAGGTCAACATCCTCCCAATCATGCTAAGGTCAGTCAACGGTCCAGTCCATTTGGCAAGCTCAAGTGACTTCCGGCCCAATCCATACTCCACAATGCCAAGGTATAAAAGCCATTCATTTGGTCCATTCTCTCTCATATGCACACAAAGCCTCAAGCATTAATATCTTGCATAGCTTTCTCTCTCTAAAATATACTGACTTTAGCATCGGAGGGACCTTCCTCGGCTACACCCCCGGGGCTAGTTTACGTGTATTTGCTGTGCAGGTTATCCTCGGCTCCGCAACTAATTGGACCGAGACCGACTTTCCCCTCTAGTTTGGGCCTTCTCAAGGTCCTATTGATTTCGTACCGAAACAATTTGGCGCCGTCTGTGGGGAAAGTTACAAAAAATCACGCCAAAAATCAGTCCTACGTTCCCAGTAACAAAAATGACTAAGAGCCGGAAAAACTCAAAAAATGCGAGGAAGAGTGGAATGATCACGGTGAGGGAACGTCAACCTATCCCTCCTTCACCGGAGCCAACCCCATCTCCTCCTCCTTCTCCAAAACCATCTCATTCCTTGTCGACTTCTGAGTCCCGAGGAAAAGGAACCTCTAAGGCTCCTAGCTCAGGAAAGGGGGGATCCTCAAGAAAACCTCCCTCAGATCATTCTCGGCAGCCGGCGGAATCGCCGAAGCCAGCGTGCACTCTCGGCCTCAGCCGAGAGAAACTCCTCCCTCGGGACCTTCAACCGAGGAAGTGGCCAGGGCTGTGGCCGTGTGCCTGGAGTTCCTAAAATTCCAAGGAGCTCCTCTCCAGCCCACACCTCCTGAATCCTCATCTCTTCAGCCGAGACGCCTGAGAAGGAAACTCGGTCAGGAGAAAGAGGGACTAGTTCAAACGTATATCGAACTAGGAAAAAAGTGGCAGGAAAATACCTGGAATTCTAGCCGAGAAAGGAAGAAGAACCCACAATTCTTCAACCAATCTGGAGCTCAGAATCCCATGAGCTTTCGGAGTAGTAACACTACTTCTGAAGGCACAGAATCTGCCCGCCAAAGTGTTCACGAACGCTTAGGCTCAAGGGAGACGGACATTCGAAGCCATCTCACCTTCCCGGCGGAAATTGCAGCTCGTCCCGAACTGTCTCAGCCAGGGACAAAAACCACTTCCACCTCCATGCGAGGGAGAAGCGAGGTCCCTTCGGCTGAGCACAAGGGGAAAGCTGTAATGGTCCCCACCAGCTCTCCTTTCCAAAACTGGATTTTGAAAGAGCATGTGCCCACGGTAAAAATACCGGCGCACATAACTTACGATGGTACCTCAGATCCGAAGGATCACATTGCCTCTTACGAGGGGCACATGTATCTCAACCCCAGGTCTGAGGCTACCTGGTGTAAGTATTTTCCTACGACCCTCAAAGGTGTTGCACAATCGTGGATCACCAAAGGGCTTAAGGACGTCTCTATAACTGGTTGGGAAGATCTTTCCAACAAATTCAAGAGCAAGTTTTCCACGGCCAACCGCCGAGAGAAAACAACTGCAGAGATGATGAGTCTGCAGCAGACGGAGGACGAGAGCCTCCGTGAATATCTTACTCGTTTCAGCAACGAGTCATCCAGAATCACAAGTCTGGACCAGGGCCTAGCCGTATTTGCACTACGGAATGGTCTACAAGTTGGAAAGTTCCTCGACTTCATGGTCATGCATACCCCGCAGACCCTGGAGGAAGCCTTGGAAGCTTCGGATAAGTTCATCCGAGCAGAAGAGTGGAACAAATCAAAGTCTCAGTCTCGATCAGGGGCTGGGAAGTTGAGAGGGCCACCGCCCAAAATTTCGGCGCAAAGGAAAGGGAAGGCTAAGGCCTCAGAACCGTTCTTTTCTCCTGAACCGAAGAAAGAGAAGTACATTCCTCATCAGGGAAAGTACGACTCCTACACTCCCCTCACCTTACCGCGTGCTAAAATTTACAGCACGACGAAGGATGAAGGGAGGTTCAAGAAGCCTCGTCAGCTGCCTCCATGGCATCAACAGAGGGGCAAGGACCAGTGGTGCGAATTCCATGACTCTCCTAGGCACCGCACCGAAGACTGCGTACAGCTGAAGGACCAGATTGAGGACGTGGTCCGAAAGGGGTATCTGAAAAAATACCTCGCAGACAGACGCGAGGAAAAAAGTGCCGAAAAAGATCCTCGACAGAACCTCGATTTCCCCCGAAAAAAGGACAAAGGACCAAACGACAAGGACTCCCTTGATATCTTGGTCATTTCCGGAGGAACCTCAAGGGGTGCAGCCAAACGCCACATGAGGGGTCTAACCCGTCATGTTAATCATGCTGAACTCCGGCAACCTCAGTCACCGATGCCGAACATCTTGTTCACGGCCGAAGACTGCAGGGGAGTGGTATACCCTCACGATGACCCATTAGTCATCATTTTGGGCATCGCGAACCGCAACGTCTGGCGAACCCTCGTCGACGGCGGCAGCGGAGCGAATGTTCTCTTTCGAGGGGCGTTTGACCAGCTGAAGTTGGAGGCCAAGCACTTGACCCCAGCACCCTACCCGGTGTCTGGGTTCAACGGCTCTTCAACGTATCCAGATGGGAGGATTACACTTCCTGTCACCATCGGCTTAGGCCGAACAACAAGGAGCATCATGGCCGAATTCTTGGTCGTTGATGCCCCTTCTGTTTACAACGTGATCATGGGGAGACCCCTTATTCACGATGTTCAAGGAGTCGTCTCTACGTATCATCAGACTATGGTATACGTATCAGACGAGGGGCGCTCCGAAAAAATAAAGGGCAGTCAGAGAGAAGCCCGCCGATGTAATCATCTCAAGCCATCTAAGGTTCGCCGAGACGACCAAGATGATGAAGAAAAGAAACATCGAGACCGAAGTTCCAAAAAACTGAAAGGTTTGGAAACTTCGGCTAACGAAAATCCCCCTCGTGAAAAAGATAGAGGGGGACAAAAGACTGATTCCAAGTCAGAACCGAAAGGCTCTGATGATCAGCAACGGTCGGAACAGCCAGCTGATATTGACAGCCGGCCAGAGCCAGAAGTATCCAACTCCAAAAACTTGGAGACGGACAGTCAGACCGAGTCAATAGAGCTGGCCGAAGGAAATTCAGAAAGATGTGTTAGCATTGGACTGGACCTCGAACTAGAAACCAGAGCTGCGCTAATCCAACTCCTTCAAGCCAGCGGGGATGTGTTCGCTTTCTCGGCGATAGAAATGCCCGGGATTGATCCGAACTTAATCTCCCACAAGCTTAATGTCGACCCAACGAGTCAACCCATTAAGCAGAAAAAGCGGAATTATTCCGCCGAAAAGAACCTGAATATCACAGCCGAAGTCAGAAAACTCCTGGATGCTGGGTTCATCGAACCCTGTCAGTATCCGGAATGGCTGGCCAATGTGGTGATGGTTCAGAAGGCCAATGGCAGCTGGAGAATGTGTGTTGACTTCACGTACCTGAATAACGTGTCCGGAGGACTCTTACCCATTGCCGAGGATTGACCAACTGGTCGACTCGACAAGCGGGCATGCTCTGCTCAGCTTCATGGACGCATTCTCTGGATACCATCAGATCTTCATGCATCCCGAGGATCGAGCTAAAACAGCAGTCGTTACCAGCTCCGGGGTGTACAATTATAAAATGATGCCCTTCGGATTGAAAAATGCGGGGGCAACATACCAGAGGCTGGTTGATCAGGTCTTCGCCGAGCAAAAAGGCCGCAACATGGAAGCTTATGTGGACGATTCAATTGTCAAAAGCATAGATGAAAAAGACCATTTTACGGACCTAGCCGAAACCTTCGCCACCCTGAGAAAGCACAATATGAAGCTGAATCCGAAGAAGTGTGTCTTCGGAGTGAAGTCAGGAAAATTCCTCGGCTTCATGGTCAGCAAGAGAGGGATTGATGCTAATCTTGCCAAAGTACAAGCTGCTTTGGACCTCCCCGAACCGAGAACGAAAAGGGACATTCAGCGTCTAACCGGAAGAATGGCCGCTTTGTCTAGGTTCATCTCAAGAGCCTCGGACAAAGGGCTCCCCTTCTTTAAAGCGTTGAAACTCCAAAGTTCGAATAACATCGAATGGGGGGACGAACAAAAACTTGCCTTTCAGCAGCTCCGTGATCATCTAGCTCAGCTGCCAACACTGGCAAGACCAGTTGTTGGCGAGACCTTATACTTATACGTGGCGGTTAGTCCGACCGCAGTAAGTGCGGTGCTGCTAAAAGAAGAAGAAAAAATTCAACAGCCGATCTATTTTGTCAGTCACACCCTGACAGATGCCGAGTCTCGTTACCCCTTGCTTGAAAAAATTGCATATGCGGTAGTGGTAGCAGCTCGGAAGTTAAGGCCCTACTTTGATTCACACCAAATAGTGGTCCTAACTGATCAGCCGCTAGAAAAAGTCCTCGGCAAGGTAGAAAAATCTGGTAGACTAACGAAGTGGGCCTTTGAGCTAACTGAGTTCAGTATCAGCTATCAGCCGAGGGCAGCTATCAAGGCGCAGGCCTTAGCAGACTTCCTAGCCGAGTGTTCCTACCAAGAGACACTCGATGAAAGGAAGAAAATTTGGACTGTCTTTACGGATGGGTCTTCCACCGTCAATGGCTCGGGGGCAGGAGTAGTCGTTACCTCGCCCAAAGGCAAAAACTTCGAATATGCACTAAAGTTCTCATTTAGGGCTTCTAACAACGAAGCTGAATATGAAGCCGCCATCGCCGGCTTAGACCTGTGTATATCTCTAGAAGCCGAGCATGTCTGTCTCAAAACAGACTCTCAGCTAGTCGCGAATCAGATCAGGGGGGAATACAAGGCTAAAGAGCCTTCAATGATAGCCTACCTCACAAAGATCAAATCAACGATTGCGAAGCTGAGAACATTTGAAGTTGAGCTGATCCCAAGGGGTCAGAATGCTCAAGCAGACGCACTCTCCAAGTTAGCAAGTTCGACTTTGACCGAGTTGAACCGTTCTGTATATGTGGAAGTGCGCCGAGAGAAAAGTGTAGCCGAAGCAGTCAAAGTCTGCTGCGCTGCACCAGAGCCAAGCTGGATGGACCCCATCCTAGCTTACAAGCTCAGGGATGAACTTCCCGAAGATAGGAGGTTGGCGTCCAAAATAAAAAGAATCAGTTCGCGATTCATCGTCTTCGGCAGCCAACTCCTCAGGAAATCCTTCTCTTCTCCTCTGCTGAAATGTGTAGGTCCAACAGACGCTGATTACATTCTCCAAGAAATTCATCTCGGCATCTGCGGAAACCACATAGGAGGGAGAAACTTAGCCCACAAAGCTCTAAGGACAGGGTATTTTTGGCCAACAATGATCTCGGATGCAAAAAACATGGTCCGAAAGTGCGAGAAATGTCAAAAGTTCACACCGATTATTCATCGACCATCTAGAGATCTTCAGCCAATCCTCAATCCACTTCCATTCTCACAATGGGGGCTGGACATTCTGGGTCCTTTTCCCGAGGCTCCATACAAGAAAAAATGGTTGATAGTTGGAATAGACTATTTCAGCAAATGGATTGAAGCCGAAGCTGCTTCAAACATAACTGAGCAAACAGACAGACAATTCATCTGGCAAAACATAATAACTCGGTTCGGCATCCCCAAAGTCTTTGTATTCGACCATGGTAGGCAATTTGACAACCTACCTCTGCGGCGATACACGGATCAATTCGGAATCAAATTAGCCTACTCTGCAGTCTGTCATCCTCAGAGCAATGGCCAAGCCAAGGCCGCAAACAAGCAGATTCTCAATGCTCTTAGAAAAAGAGTGGAGGATCAAAAGTCCAAGTGGATAGAGGAGCTTCCTGGAACCCTCTGGTCACTTCGGACAACCAAAAAAGAAGCAACGGGCCATACACCCTTCCAACTAGTGTATGGATCCGAGGAAGTACTTCCAGTGGAAATAGGCTCAGAAAGTCTCCGAGTTAATCTCTTCTCAGCCGAGGAAAACGACCAAGTCAGGAAAGAATCCCTTGATTTCCTCGACGAGATCAGAGATTCAGCTCGAGAAAGAATGGTTGCTTACAAGCTCAGAATAAGCAAGTCCTACAACCGAAAAGTCTATCAACGACCTCTTAGAGTTGGGGATTTAGTTTTGAGAAATGTTGCAGCTGTACAAAAAAGCCGCATTCATGGAAAACTCTCAGCATCTTGGGAGGGACCCTACGAAATTTATCAAGAGCTTCAGCCCGGCACCTTCAGACTTAAACAACTGGATGGCACCGAGCTGAAAAACCATTGGAATGCCGATGTGCTCAAAAAATACCATGTATAAATCCTTCGGGACAGTACAATCTATGTAAGTGCACTTATCTTATTAATGAAAGGCCCTCGAGCCAATGTTTATTCAGATTCTGTGCATTTTTCAGTATTTTCGCTTTCTACGGTTTTTTCAAAAAAATCGGGGTTTCATTAGGTGTTGTCCGAGGTATTGCATAGTGATGCCTTGTACCTCGGAAAGCCGTAAAACCTGCCAAAAGGGGACAGGATACAAGCCCGAAACATTGCATAGTGATGCCTTGTGTTTCGGAGAACCTGTTCCTCTAGGCAAAAAGGTCATAGACTCGTTCGAAACATAGCCTAAAAAATAGGAGCTGATAAAGCCCCGGAGTATTTCATAGTGATGTCTTGTACTTCGGACGAATCAGTTCCGGGTGGTGGTTGCAATTCTGAAGTATGGCATAGTGATGCCTTGCACTTCGGATAGACCACTGCCCCGGTACGGTGTTTCGAATAGTTGTTCCCTTGGATGAATTTAAAAAGGTGTCACAAGAGTACCTATGAGTGAAAGCTCTTAAGTGGGAAATCAGTACCTTAAAAACAGATGTAGAAAGGAAAATCATAATCCTAAATCAAGAAAAATTTTCACCGAAATTTTCACAAGACAAGATCCTCAGCTCAGCTGAGGAAAATCATCTGCTAAGTCCAGAATTCAGAAGACTGCATCTTCAAAATTCTGGGGGGCAGGAGAGGATAAGAAAAAGTTGTGCTACTCAAAGTTTCTCAGCTCAGCCGAAGTTTAATACTTATGTCAGTTTTTCACAAGTTGAAAAAATCCGAGTAGAAACAAACAAAGGCAAATGAGAGAAGCAAAGTCAGCACATTATCTCAGTCAAGAGTGAAGTCTCAGCAAAGTTGTCCTCATCAGCTGAAGTTCTATACTTGGAAAAAATTGGAGTAAACATTCAATAAAGCAATAAAGTATTGAGAACAGAAAAAGCAAAGAAAGAGACAGAAGCTGAGAAAAGTGACTTCATTGAGATAAAATTGAGGATTATAATTCTGAGAAAATTCAGTTCAGATCCTAGGCTAATTCAGCAGCCGCCCACAAGCGGATAATACAGCCACCGAGAAATTGTACTTAACTAAAAAAGCAAAATGTACATTAAAAAGGTGCTGAAGCAAAAGAAGAGGCAAAAAGCAGACGCGGAATATTACAATTTAAGCAGATGATGAGCCGCATGATTCTGCAGACGACTGCCCGAGTTCCTATGCTTCAGCCGGAGGAGGATCCTTAGCATTTTCATCCTCATCTTCATCATCTTCCTCCTCGGCCCGAACTCGGGCAAGATAGGCCTTCTCAGCGGGATGCGCTTGGTGCATAAAAGGATGGTTCGGCACAGAATCCCACTCCTCAACCTGATGCCAGTTAATTTCTAGATCAACATGAAAAGCGAGACGCTGAGCTACGTTAAATCCATTGTCGTAGCCCTCCTCGTATTGCTCTTGGGTAAATACCCTTACCTTGAGCAAATCCTGCGCATCCTTGAGATCACGCTCCAGCTGAGCAATCTTGTCATCTTTTTCAGCTGCTTGTTGCTTCAGCACAGTGTTGGCATCTTCAGATGTTTGAAGTTTGGTATTCATCTCACCACACTGGAGAACCAACTGCTGATTGGAAGTTTTGACTTTGTCCAGCTCTTCGGCCGCAGTCTGCTGAGCTAATTTTTCAGCTTCAAGAGCCTCTCTTTCAGTACTGATGGTGCTCTGGATCCGGACTTGGAGATCCGCAACATCCTTAGCACCAAATTCATCAAGTAGAGCTTGGCCCTTCTCAACCCAAGGAAAGATTGTTTGCTCCATCACAGTGCAGAACTCCCTGAACCTTCCAGTCATGGAGATGTTGTGATTTCGCTCAGCTTTAAAATCTTCGGCTTTGGCAAATTTTAGCTCGTACAGATCAGCTCTGGCATTAGCTTCTTCAGATTTGTGCTTGAGCTCGCTAATAATGCCTTCGGCCAGACATTGTTGTGCACAGCCTAGCAGAAAGAAGAAAAGTTGTTAGCCGAGCAAACGCACTTGCATCAAAAGAACTTATGAAATGCATTGTATAAATCAGACAAGTTACCTTCATCAGCAGTCGTTTGTTCTCAGAAACAGGGTCATGGACCCTAGATGCATCTTCAGCAGCCGCAGCAGCAGCATATCTGGACCATCTTTCAACCCTTTCCAGATCAGATACTCTGGATAGGTCTCCGAATAGGCCAGCTGCTTCAGCTCGGCGCTCATTCAAAATTGCTCTGGTAGATTCAGGAACATCTACCAAAGGAGGGGCTTGATACCCCATTTGTTCGGATTGGAAGGTCCTGAATGACCCTCCAACAGATGAAGGTACATCCTGTACCTCCCTGGAAAGATCACCTTCCAAGTCTTTTTCAGCCCAGTTGTCAGGCCTTCCTGACAGCACTTCCAAATCTTCATCAACGGGCAGCTGAACAATAAAAGCATCAGCCTCCCGCTGAATTGCAATATAGAAACCCTCGGCCTCTTGCCGAGGGGATGAAGACTTTGCAGCAGCAGGAGGAGTCCTCTGCTGGACCTCCTCCTCTCTCAGTTGCGGCGGTGGCGAAACCTCTTTCCCAGCACAAGAAACCGGGCAAGGAACCGCAGGCGCATCATCTTCTACCCGAAACTCTCCCGGCTGAAGATATGTCCTTTTTAGCTTCTTCCTCTTCTGACCCATCTCGGCTGAGTCAGGTTCAGATTCAGAGGTGGAGGATTCTCTTTTTTCCTCTTCGCCGGACTGCAGCAGAGAAAAAAGGGGGGCAAGGGCATCAGCATGGCAAAAAAAAAAAAAAAACAACAACAACAACAAGAAGTAAAGCATGCAAAAGGCCTCAGCCGAAGAAGCGTACTTATCAGTTTCTTATAACAATACAGAGAAATTACAAGTACATAAAGACTAATGTATATCAGCCAAAAGGAGAGGTACTAAGCTAAAGTCTCAGCTGAGCAAGTGTACTTATCAGTTTTTGTATCAAAAAGCAAAAATTACAAGTACAAACAAGCATAATCAGATTTCAGCTGAACAAAAGCACTTAGCACATTTTCAAGCATGATATTCACAGAAAATACAAGTGCAGCATAAAAATAAGAAAAGCTCAGAAAAATAAAGACAAGGGACTTACAGAACTCTTCAGAAGTTCCTCGTCTGAAGTAGCAAGTGGACTCGGCTCGCGAGCAGGAGTTGCAGCCAAAGGTCCTGAATTGCTGACTCTCCAAGATTCAGCAACAACCAACGTCTGCTCTTCAGGGCGCAGCTGAAAGAAAGGGTCCCGCTTTCGGTACCACGGCTTCTGGGTCGAATAATCAGCCGGTGAAACAATGTTCAGCTGAGTATTTCTAAGAAATGGAGCTCGATCCGAAGGGGGGTGATTTCCGGAGCACGTCTATTCACCACCCTGGATGCATTAATTCCCAGTAGCTCGTAGTTCAGGCCGCAGTTACCTTCGTGCAGCACTGTTTCAGCCAAAAGGAAAGCAGATCAACACAAGGAAAACAAAGAAAGAAATAATTGTAAAAATAAGAAAAAATGACAAGTACAATTATTCGGCCCCAGCCGAGAGACTTACCATCCTGGTATTTTCGGCTGAGGCCTACAACAACAAGGAACCTCTCCTGGAATATGTAATGATAGCAGGGAAGCCAGACTTGGGGGAGCCCTGTTGATCGGCTAGCTCCCGTCGTCCTTGAATCCCTCTTGAAGAGTTTGATCTGTTCCTGTTCCTCAGCTGTAAATTCCTCGGGGCCGAGGTTGCTCATTTTCGCATCAGGCCATCTCAGATGCCTCGGCACCCCGCAAAAATAAGGGTGATCTTGTTCGGTGGGGGCCCTAACCCAAATCCACTGGCCTCTCCAATCTTTATCAGAGGTGTCATTCGGCCAAGTGGTTAAATACCCCCTATGGGTCTCAATTCGCCACCACCCAGGTCCATGGGCTTCGTTTGACTGCTGGTTCGGCACCAGCCTATGTATCTTCCTAAAGACCTGGAGACTCGGCTCATACCCATAGAACAGACATACCCACAAAAACGTCACTACCCTCCTAATGCTAACAGGAGTCAGTTGACAAAGGGCAATATCATAGGCGTTCAGCAGCTGCACAATAAATGGATGCAGCGGGAATCTAAGTCCGAACTGCATCTCCGAGTATATACCCCAAGATAGAAAGGGGGAGGTTTATGGATTCTGTCCTCGGCTCGGGGCATTTGACACCAATACCCGTCCTCCTCAAGAATCCCATAAAATAATTCAATTTGCTCAGCAAACCTATGAGCAGGATCCTCCTTAATCCACCAGTCATAAGGGGCGGCAGTGGCTATCCCACTGTTTTCGGCTAGGTTTTGCCATTCTCCAATACCCTCCCAAAGCCTCCTAAGGCCATGAGCAGCGCCACTATTCGAACTAGTGGGCTCCTCAAAGTCAAAATGAGGGACTGGCCTCAATGGTATTGCAGCTAAGGGGGTTCTAGGGTCATTGTCCATATTTTCGGATCTCCTTAACAAGGTGTTATATCGGCTCCGACTCAAACCGGGCATTCGCTGCAAAGGACAATCTCGGCGCTGTCCTAAAAGAGTCAAAGGCAGATTTAGGGCCTCATTTTCAGAATTCTCTCTCTCATCGCTCACATTCGACATGACTGAGTAGAAGAGTAGAAGTTCGAGAGGAAAAGAAGAAAGCTTGAAAGGAACTGAAAATCGAAAAAGATTCGTAAAGAATTACCTCAAAAAGCTCGCAATTCGTCAATCTCTAAGGAGTTGCAGCAATAAATGGTCTCGGCGCAGGGTGTTCAGAGAATTTAAGGAAAGAAGTTCAGAGAGAATTTGCAATAAGTGAGTTCGCAGTGGGAATTCAGAGAATGTTCTTGTGTTTAAAGCGTGAAGTAAATGAGAATTTGTGAAGAGGGGCGCATATATACTTCAAAATTTAGAAGATCAAACCGCCCAAAAACCCCACAAATTCCAGATTCAATTCAGTGCTTACACATGTTCCTCAAACCATTAAAACATCAAATTCTTTTAAACTTCCCCAATTATTCTCATCAAAGGCAATCTGTCATCAGTAATTGTCTCATCATTCCAAGTCTAGTCAAGGTCAGCAATCTGTTCTTCAGCTGCGCAAAAATCCGAAGCTAAGCTCAGTCAAGATCAGTCATTTGTCCTTCGGCTGCACCAGAATCCAAACCCAGCCCGTCTTTCATCCGAGCCGGGTCTTGGGGGCAAGTTGTTTGGGTCCAATTTCATTAATCAATTGGGCCTAGTCCAAATAACTCAAATTGCAAGCCCAAAGCAAAGGTCAACATCCTCCCAATCATGCTAAGGTCAGTCAACGGTCCAGTCCATTTGGCAAGCCCAAGTGACTTCCGGCCCAATCCATACTCCACAATGCCAAGGTATAAAAGCCATTCATTTGGTCCATTCTCTCTCATATGCACACAAAGCCTCAAGCATTAATATCTTGCATAGCTTTCTCTCTCTAAAATATACTGACTTTAGCATCGGAGGGGCCTTCCTCGGCTACACCCCCGGGGCTAGTTTACGTGTATTTGCTGTGCAGGTTATCCTCGGCTCCGCAACTAATTGGACCGAGACCGACTTTCCCCTCTAGTTTGGGCCTTCTCAAGGTCCTATTGATTTCGTACCGAAACATATATTATTGCAGATTTGTTAAAAAAAAAAAAAGTATAAGCCAATCACAATATGCCGCCTCATCCAAATAACTGGTTAAATCGGTTAAAACAGGTCACAAATCAACTCTAGAAGACACCCCCATAGTTTGGACTATTCTAAAATAATCCATAGTTGGGATTAATATGAGAAGACATCCAATAGTTAGAATTAATGATATGAATTTTTCCTAATCTTTTATCAAAACCTTAGTTTCAAATAATTTGGTGTCAGCTAACATAAAAGATAAAATATCCTTTTATTTCAAGTAGTACTTAAAAATTTCATATGGTTGAGACTTGAGAGGCATACACATACTCCGTGTTTACCAACCATAACTAAGAGTAAATTTTTAAATACAAATAGCTCGTTGGTAAATTTGACAGTAATGAGGCGGGCAGCAAGGAGTTCTGAAGCAATCTTCCAACACAGCGGCACATTTGAGTGCTCCATTTTCATTCGGCCTTTCAATCACCAAAATTTCTTCCTTAATTATGGTTGGTAACTTAGCATCTACCATCATCTCTTGCTTTCCTTCCCTATGTCCATCTGAGGTCACCATTTCAAGGGTCTTGCTTCCTGCTCGCGAACTTGCTATCGCTGAAGCGAAAACAAATGTATTTATAGTCGATTCATATCATATCATATTATATCATAGCATGTGTTATATTTTTTTAGAACTAAATATCATACCCGATTTCATAAGAAAGAAAAAGAGTTTGCATTTAGTGATATTTTCTGATAGATACTCCCGCGGTGTACCCAATTCGACAGGAAAGAAAAAGAGATCTTTGAAAATAAATATCATATCTGATTTGTTAAGAAAGAAATAGATTTGCATTTAGTGATATTTTCCTATAGATACTCCCGCGATATAAAATTTAAACACAAACAAGTTAAGCCTTTAATATTACTGTATGTTATTGTGTCCGACTAGACTTTTCACGAGGATATATAGTAAAAATTATTTTGATTTTATGTTTTATGAGAGGAGGGATTTTTTAAACAAAACAAACAAAATGAAAGAAATTCGTCACTTTCATGCTTATTTATGGATGATTTGTCATACTAGACGTTAGTTAGAGCTAATTAAGTTCAATTTTACAACTAAAAAAAGTTCTAATAATTTTTGACAAGTTCATATGGCATAAGATAAGTTTAGAGAAGAAAATATCAGGTGAATAGAATGCACTCTAACAATATAACATGTTAGATGTCTAAAGTACTTTTATACGAATAATTTAAATGGATAGAAAAATAGTGTGCAAATATACCTGAAGCAAAGAGGACGAGAATAGCAATTACTATAAATTTCACCATTTTTTTTTGGTAGGTTTTTATTTTGTAGAGGGGAGAACTTTTCCTTATTTGGTGCATTCCATTCATACCAAAGCTTGCCTATTTATAACCTGCTCATCAAGTGTTTAACTAACCTCATCTTATTATTAATAATGAAGAAACGTGATTCAGAAATGTCGACATTATTGAGGATACTAATTACTAAAGATTTGAATGCCCAATTATTGATCCTCCTTGTGCTACACTGCTACTAAATGATCTACTAGTAGATTTCTAGAGTGTTGATTGCCTATTGAGTATTGACACCTTGCCAACAACCCCGTTCAAAAATTATGAATTAGTCACTTACAATTATATATTTTATCATTTTGTGCATTCAGTATTTATAATAGATCACACACGCATTGCGTACATATATTATTAGTAATTACTAATATGAAACATGTAAAGGGAGAATCCGTTTCTAGCTTAGCTCTATATACACATATTTTGCTCACCAGAAAAAAATGTTGTAAAATGGCAGTATTCGGCTATGTGCTGGTAGTGGTGATCAAGTTTAATTTTAAAATTTGTTGCAGTTTGGTTATGTTCAATGTAAATCATTACGAAATTATCTTTGTGATCGCACAAAGCATCTCCAAGAGACCAAGATTGATTAATGTCACATAGGCCATTGCTGCATTGGGCCATTGATATCTGGGCTATGTTTTGCCAAAGCCCGCGCAATATATGAGTTGGGTTGGGTTAAAACTTAGAATGGTCTTGGATAATAAACTGCAACTCTTTGAAAATTAGAGTTATTGATATCAAGTTTGGTCTTGGACCACATAGATTACGCGAAGCATGCTTCACCTTAAAAATTGCCCTTGCACTTTTTTTTTTTTTTTTTTTTAACTAATTAGTGTTGTGTATTTATACACAATCACCATTACTACGTAGTTGGTACGGATTAGATTATCCGCGCAATAGATGTGCTGGTACGGATTTTTTCTCCCAAAGTTTTTAAGGTTTGACTGATCTTAATTTAATATAATAGTATTGTTGTCTTAAAAAAAAAACATTACTACGTATTTATTGTTAATAGAGATTCTTATTCGCTAATTTTTTAAAGATGTATATCTATTGAACCAAACTAGAGTAAGCTCATTACTTATTACTTATATAGTTGATTATTTGTCTTACATTTATATCCCATAAGAAGGAAAAAAAAAAGAAATACATATAATTAATGTTTTAATGTATTAATCACTTTGTCTTAAATTATTTCTCTTCCAACTTTGACCTTGTTTTATCTTTTCAACAAATGAATAAGGACATATAGAGACATGAGGAGTTCTTTTCACAAAACTTGCAAGACAATGGAATTAAACTTGAGATCGTTATCTACTAATCCATATTGAATAAGGTCTTGTTCCTTCTGACTTACTTTTGAGTCAGTTTTGCTCATATTATTATTCAATTTCAGTTTAATTTAGTTCAACTCATTTTAACTCAAAAGAACAGGATCTTTGACTTTGTAAGGAAAACCAGACAATTGATTCATTTTGATTGGAATCTTACAATAACTATTTAAGTAGTGGTGTTAAGTAATCAAACACTTTACCAACTAAATTGGATTGCAATTATAATTAGCATGATGTTAGTTATGTTAGTCAAAATACAAAGTTTCGAATGTGGTTGGCTACACCGTGTCGCTGGAATTACTTATTTACTCGATCGGTCAGAGGTTACTTGGTCATAAGTTATTCGGCCGGTCAAGGATTACTTGATCGGTCAAGGGTTATCCAATCAGTGTTTTGATGTGTGTCAGCTGGCCACACGATATGTTTAGCCACATAGAAAACTCGTTGTAGTAAAAAATATTGGAACTAAAGATGTACTTCATATTCCACAATACGAGTAAGATTAGTACAATTAGGATTAATTTTTGGCATGGAAATGATGGTGAATATTTGGAGTAGTGGATATAGGTGTTAATTCGGATGTTCGGATCGGGTCTGATGACTTCGGGTTGGATCAATTTTTAAAGCTGAATCATACCAAATTATTGTGTTCACGCGAGTCAGGATTAATTTTTGGCATGGAAATGATGGTGAATATTTGGAGTAGTGGATATAAGTGTCAATTCGGATGTTCGGATCGGGTCTGATGACGTCGAGTTGGATCAATTTTTAAAGTTGAATCATACCAAATTACTGTGTTCACGCGAGTTGAAATCAAAATCGAATATTTTTCAGACAGATTTCGAATCGGATCGAATTGAGTCGGGTGTGATTTTGACACCCTACTGATGGATGGTGGAGTGGAGGTAAGAGATTACGTTCACGTGTAGTGAAGTCTTGGGACTTACTTTGCCCCCAAAAATTGAATGCCTCGAGGTTTATGTGATTGATTAATCCTAGTCTCCTAGATGACTATTTTGTATTTGCCACGTGGACTACTATGTGTCGTACACGTGTAGAATATCTACCCCACAAAAATTATTGAGTGAAGAAAGAATATGCGCATTTCAAAAATGCTTCTTTGCCAATTGGCCCAATTGCCCTTTCTATGTTTCCCTTATTCCCTATCAATGTATTCCGGACGCCCATGTCCATGTATTAGGCACCTTATTATCATTATGATTATTTTTTTGAATAAACGAAGAACAAAGTATATTCATATCCTAACCCAAAAAAGGTATATTCATATTCTTTGTTTAGTTTCACCATAAAATTAAATAAATAAAATATATTTATAAATTTTCCTACACAATAAACAACATTGAATATGCTCATATTAAAAAGAAAACAACGTATCTGTTAAATGAAATAGTAGAAAAGATGATGATTTATACAATCTTTAGAGTTGTGAATATAGTGAAAAAATTGAAACATAATCAAGCATTAATAAATAAAATTGATTGTCAAGTAATTTATCACATACTCCTAAATTGATACGATATTGATATGTATAAAATGTCGATTACAACTCTAAGGATTTCATACCTTATTTAAATACAAAGTAACAACAAAGTTATTATTAGCATTACTCAACAAATGTAATTTCTCCACTGTGTCTGAGCAGCAGACTATGTTTCCTTGTTACTTGTTAGTTCATTTCATTCAAGCTCACCTAGATATAGATTATCATTTTATAAATAGTAAATTTTCTTTTTCATTTATTATAATAAGTTAGGTTATATATAGTCTTAAGATCTCGTAAAAAAAAAAAGTTTAAGAGAAAACTTTCCTAGTTTTGTGTATCTTTCTATTTAAAAAAATAAAATAAAATTTTTCATACATAGCTTACATGAAAAAAAAAGAACATATGGACCTCATCACAATCAAGCAGGACAAGCACCATCTTTCTTTCTCCTTCACTACCTCTCTTTCCTTTCCGTACAAAAAAAACCAATTAATATACATTGTCACATTTATCATCTTTCTTGAGCTCTAATATTTTCATCTTGAACTTTAACATGAGCATCCATTAGAAAGGTCTAAGTACTACATAATACTATGTAACTATGTAAAATGAATAACCGTGAATTATATGCATAATACTCTGTTAGACCATTATAAAGCCTCCATTTTTATTTTTCTTGTGTGAATATGTAAATTGAACGACCGTAACTGAATTTAAAAACCTCTCACAAGTCCCCCAATCCAATCTTTACCCAGTCAAGCTTGACCCTTTGAATATGTGTGGTTCATCAAGTGGTTTATTGGTTAACCTCTGAATCAAGACACAAAAATCTTACCATTACTAGTTAATTGGTTGACCAAGTACTTAATGTGTTTGGTAAACTATCCTAATAACGTAGAATATTGAAATAGTTATCATCATGAGGTGGGGCTTATGTGCCTTACTTGTATGATTAAAAATAAGCCTTTGTAAATATCCCATAAGGGTACCAATAAATCATATATGGACCCAAATTTTGGTGTCATTAGTCACGTTGATCATGATATTCATACATTCCTAAGTTGCAATCTTCAACTTTTTAAACAATTTGACCAGAGTCGGCGGTACCTAATCAACTTTGGTAGAACAATATAAGTCATAATAGGTACATTCGCCATGGATGTTACGCATCTTAGTCAGTTAAAATTTAATGTGATTTCATATTTCTATGTGATTAAATCTCGTTTATATTAATTTTTTGTTTGTGACTCGGTCTCTATATACCCAAAATAATGTCAACAATACGTAATAATTTAATTAGTAGTTAGGTACCACATATTAATTCTTAATATCATACTTTTTTTTTATTTTTTATTTTATGATGGACATTATTTTTTGTTTGTAAATGTCAATAATTTTTATATGAATAAAATTTAGAAAGTGATCTATTAATAGAGCAATAATAGTCTATTAAGAAAAACAAGGCGTAGCTAGTAAAAAAATTACATTCGAATATACGAAATATAAAGATTCCAAAAATGATTAACAAAAAGAAACAAAGGAATACATATCCTTATTAGTGTGCATGTTATCACGCTATTGTCAAGGGATGGAGAAATTGCATTGAGAATCGGAAATTTAAAGATTGGATTCGATTTTTTTGGTTAAAAACTTGTGCATGAACGATGAACACATCATACAAATAAGGTTTGACAACTTGCTATCATAATCAAACAAGTAATTTTCGCAGCAGCAATGCACCAAAAGTAACAACTTGGGTTGCAAAAAGGAAAAAGGTTTTGCGCAAGACCACAAAATAAGCAAGAAGTTGAAAAACAAATATCTCATGCTAGTAGCCCACAAAGGCACAAACGTCTTTGTACCATCTCAAGGGCATTTTAGTACACGGCCAAATGTCAAAATTAAATGGCTTTCTAGAAATAACTTAGAGGAAATTTATTTATTACTAGCAACCAAAATAATATGGTATTCCTAAATACATGTAATGTGGAAGTATATTTCAAATTGAAATTTCAATATATAATGGTATTCTAGAAATCACTTAAGAAGAAAATTAGTAGCAAGCTTTAAAAATAGCATTCTTAGATGCGTTTAAGTTGGAAGTGTATATTAAATTGAAAAAATTTGTTGCATGATTTAGAGCAATTTATATTGATTAATTTTATAAGAGAAATCAATAATAGGATTAGTGGTTAATGTCTTAGTGGGATAAGATATTGATAATGTCGCACCATTATATGAACGTGTAATACGTCATACAAAAGACAATTTATAAGTACGGAGTGATAGAATTAAACTAATTTACAAGTAATTGATTATTACATATTGTATAATATTAATATGAAAAATGCTATA